GTTATCCCCGCAAGGGGATGGGGCTGGAGTATTGAAAACAGGGGATACAATAATTTTGACACCTATCTTTTTGAGATTGTTAAACAAAATCTCTTTCTCTGAGCAATTGTATTAGTATAAAATAATATAATTATTCCATTTTGTTGAGCATACAATATAGCTCAGTATTTGGATTATTTTATACAGTCTTTTCTGCTAATCTTAATCAAGGGATCCAATCATTCCGGAGCCCACTGTACTGTCTATTACTGGAGATACAACATGGAAATTCAGGACCCCAAATGCTAGATAAAATATTGCCAGCAAAAAGATTGGTCGTGATTTTATATTGTTTCTATTAAATCTTGTCTTTCAATGGCTTTAATTAATAATATACTTGTGACATTTATGTATAGGAGCAATAAGCTAAGCGAGAAACAATTTATGTCACCTAAAGCTTTTTAACGAATCAATGCAACTATTTGTAATTGCTTGTTTCACAAGATTAAAAGTGCTTAGACTTGATCTCTGTCTCCTGTTTTGTGGCCAACATGACCTGTGCTTCCGTCATAAAAAAAGCAAGTCTTGGTCATCAGCATTAATTCCCATCAAGAAATCCATATCGCTAATATTTCTGGAATTTTAATGCAGTTACAATTTATAGCTTATCAAATACTGTTACCTAAATTGATGTTAGAACAGTTTAACTGTCTCTTTTTAATTACAAGATAATTTAATGTTGAGGCTGATATGATAGTGGTGGTCATCATCACAGACTCAGAAGTCCTGCAGAAGATGACAAACAGGCCTGTATCTGTGACAATCTAACCTGCACAAAATAATACAAAAATGACAATATCATTGTATACTGTAGGTGTAATCGCTGTGAGGAGAATTTTGGAGGGGCCTTTTTCTTTTGCAGTGTCCTGCATTGGTAGACACGGACAAGGCAACTATGATTTCAGTGGTTTTTGTATGCAGATCCCTACCATTTAAACCAAGTAAGAAATGACTTCAGGAAACAAACGTGAACAACCAGCATTTTATTGCATTTTTAGAATGCTTACGTCAGTTATCGAGACCGACTGTACAACAGAATAGTCTGCATCAGACAGACCAGGAATGATGAGGAGATTACAGACTGATGATGGAGGTGATGAGCAGAATCTTTAGTTAATAAACAGAAAACTACAGACTACAGCTTCAACAGAAAACTAACCTAACTGCTGAAACATTAAAGCACCGTGACAGCTGCTCTGCTGTACCCTCTTCCCTCCCTCCGCCAGAAGCACGGGTTGAGAGGATGATGGTACAACACAGTGGTGAATGACAGTGGGGTGGATCATGATTGATGGAAATGTGGCAAATTAGCATGGCCGCAAGTGTCTTGAGGGGGAATCTGATGCCACCTACACAGAGCACAGCAAGGTCAAAAGGTTACTCGATTCGGGTTGATATGTCTTGTTAAAAAATCAACATATTTCAAGGATGAGTACAGAGTCTGATTCACATCAAACTTTTAACCTTTAACCTTTGTGCTCCACTTAAGACTGCTACCTGCTGTGCTTGTCTATACTTATCATAAAAAAATTAACACATTTCCAAACAGTTGAGCTAAAGAATAACAAAAAAGCAGTATGTATGTCACCTAATGGGGATGGACTGATGATGGTGACATCTCTGATGATGTATGTATGAATTAATTCATTCCTCTGGAATAAAAACAAAGCATTTAACAAATATTCTCTACATCTTGGCACTGCATATTTTTCTTCTTTTTCCTATTAGTTTCATATAAAATATCATTAGATTGATACACCCTTATATTATTACTGACCACTTAACTATTATTTATCATCTCTGTGACCCTGGAATTAGTCATGCAAGATACCTCAGTCTTGTAGAGGAAACATACCTGTCTGCCCTTTCTCCAAGCAGTAATCTTTAACATATAGCCACAGAAGGCAGTGGTTGGACCATCAAAAGGAAGTATCAAAAACAGCTTAACACAAGGAAGAACAAAATCTGTACAAAATGCTTAGATCAATGATAACAGAGAAAAGTCTGTTTTCTATTTTACAGTTTAAAATCCTAAATCTGGGATAATCCCCCACCCTGCCCCCGCCCATCTCACACAGATGTCTGCATGTATGACTTTTTAAAGCAAGGATTACTAAGTAAAATACATTTGCAGTACAGTTTGCTATTCCAATACATACAGCAGTTTTTCAAAGCTATTTTATAGTTAATACAAAGCAGTTGCGATAAAGCAAAAATAATAACACAAATGTATTTTTGATCTTTGAAAGAAACAAGGAAAGAAAATGACAAGCAAAAGACATAAGGCTATACTAACGACCTACTGTTGTAAAGCCCACGACCAAATGACTGACAATAGATTGTGAAAAATGGGATCAAATAAAGTTGGGTGATTTCTTCATGAAATAAGGCCTGAGGTTTGGATTGGTTTTGCACAAAGGATGAGACCCTCAAGATAAACATGATCTAATTTTGTATTCTTATAATTTTTTTGGTTTAAAAAAATGTTTTTTCACTCTCTACAGTTTTGGACTACACATGCAAGACATACAACTAAGTGCAACTGAGTGAAAAACATTTTTTTTCTCTTTTAATTTAATCATTCCCTATAGGTTTGAACTGAGATCTGTGTACTAACAGTTTTCTCATGCTGTTATCTTTAGTAATGTCAAGCTACACATGCTGAGAATGTTCTAATCTACCAGCTTTTCCCCCTTTAGAATACCAAGCAAACCAGCAAAAGACTGGCTTTGGCTGAGCTCGAGTTGTTCTCACGATCCCAGTCCGGCTGTTACTGACCCATCCCACAGCTGCCTGCTATTGGATATTAAATACATTTTCTGAAAACCACAGATTGCCCTTTTCATTAGTAATAGCAAATGCATGGTGAAATGTTAAAATAACTGCCATAAAGTACCTTGTACCCAGCTTATTAGTTGACAGGAGTGTTTTTTAATATAAAAAGTAATACGTTGACAGAAACTAAACACAATCATAAAGCCTTGCCAATGTTAACAAAGAACAGTAGAATCCCATCAAGATAGCAGGATTCACTAAAGAGTGGCATACAATCGTTGGAAAGGGTACAAATCCATAAAGAATAAAAAAATTAACAAAATATTTAATCATTGTGTGGTCCAGTTGAAGTATAGAATTCTTTTCACATTGTTCTCTGCAAAGCTCTCCTGTCTACTGATAAATCATCATCATTATAATCTCCTTTTATCCATCCTCTTATGTTGCACAGTAATCTGCTGCTGATAGATGGATAGAGTGATCCCTTTTCCTCCCATTGGTCCAAAGACCATGCTCCCCTAATTTGGTCATAATGTTTGTCTGACTCTGCATCTCCCTTTCAGTTTTGGTCACCGCAAAGTCCTGCAGCTACTATACTCATCAAGAGACCCCTTTGGCTTTAAAGGTAATGACAGTCCAACTGCTTGAGGAGCATCCTCTCTAATCAATGTGCCATTGGCTTAACACAGCTGAGACTATCCTCCATCTTTAGATCCTTTCACATCCAATGGGAGAGAATGGAGGATATTTGGCCTTATCTGCTATTGCATGAAACAGAGAACATCGTTTTTACTTTGTAGTTTATCTTTGGTAGTCACAGAACAAGATATCCGACACATCAACAACTAAATACAAAAGTAAAACTAAAAACTGAAATAATAATAATAAATAAAAAATGCAAAGTGGTTGCAGTCTTTAAAAAGTCATTTTTGTGAGTCTTTGTACGAGCATATTCTGTTTCATATCATATACCAAACCTAGGATCAAGTCCATTTGTATTCAGCCTCACAGCGCCACAGTTCCTGCATCAATCCCATCCACTCTATTGCAGGGCCTACGTCACTACTCTGACTTGGTCATTGGGTTCTGCTGATGTTGACCCGACTGTACCAGATCATCAGTTCCCTTGTGGTGTGGGTGGGCGTCTGGGGCCGTAACATGGCTGCCAAATACTGGAATGAAGCAATGATCAGGTCTTATTGCCCGTCTTGGGATTATCCCTAAATTAAGGACATTAATATTTCATCTGATGTGTGTAATTATTAATAATCACTCAAAACTGAGAGAGACAACTGGTCATGCATATGGTAAAAAACATTAAAACTATAGGGAATGCACTTTGATATCTTCAAGCATGGCCAAACAATCCCTCCATGAATGAAATTACAGTGTGGAAAACTAGACACGTTTGATCTACAATGACAGTTGTGTTCAGGAATCACAATTAGTTGGTCTAAAATATTATCTTTGTCCTGCACACCTGACATTTATTTCTAAAACTGGGAGCTTGCGAATGATCAGAAATTTGGTTGCAGCTAACATGCACTGCCGTGAAGGGCTGTTCTCCAATATAATTTCATGAGGATAAATCATAACCTGCATGATTTCTCTGTCATTCATTCTCATCTTAAATTAAACTTCACTGATGCGTGGAGAGAGCCTTCATTACGAGTAGTGCATTGCAGATGGACTTCATGAGCTTGGGGGGGTTGGGGTGGGGATGGACTACATGTCAGGGAGGTGGCATTCTGAAGCATGTGGAATAAATGACAGAAAAATACTACTTGGTATTTGACATTCTGCTTCATGTAAAAAACTACATCGAGACAACATGAAAGGAAATCATATAAACATTCATCAAGTGCTGACCATACAGAATCTCCACAGCATGGGCATGAGGTCTGATCAGTTAAAGAAATCAAATGCAATAACAGCAATGTACAATGAAAAAGACATACATTTATATTTTAAAACCCTCACCCTCAAAACACACCAAAAAACATCCCTCCCACCCTAGATGGAAGCAAACCAATGAAGTTTTGAAGGCAGTGACAATGAACAAAATCTACACACACACAGTGTAAATTAAATGTCAGTCAATATCTCTTGAGTTTATGGGCATATGTGTGTGTGTGTGTGTGTGTGTGTGTGTGTGAGAGAGAGAGAGAGAAAGAGAGAGAGAGAGAGAGAGAGAGAGAAAGAGAGAGAGAACCCCTCTGCAGTCCGTGCTCAGTGTGGTTGAGTGGGCTGCATGCAGTCCATACTGGCTGCACAGTGCAGGTCCAAGTCCATCCTGGATTTGAAACCACCACACTGACCAAGAAGAAGTCCCCAGTACCAAACATGTCCATCCAACGCATGTTGAGTAGAAATTACTTTTTTTTTTTTTTCATATTTTCGTTCACTTAAACCAAAAAGTAGATATAAATCAAAAATACTCCCAAGTGGGACGTATTCTCGTTCTTGTGTTTTTCACTATGTATTTAATGGCACTAAAAGTCAGTTGGAAACATTTGATAGCTGTCATCAGAAGGCTGAGACTGCAGTCTTGTATCTGTGTTATCTGTGACGTTGTGGCGTCTCACAGATGACTAAGGTTAGTTCTGCCTCTGGGATGGGCCCCTGGGGGCCTTACAGCATGTCATCGTGGCCCTGGTCATCGTCGTAATCTCTGTGGTGATCGAAATCTGGACTGTGGTTGGCCGTCGTCACCAGGGAGAGGGGGCCTTCGTGGTCCTCCGGGTCCAGTGGTTCCTCTTTAATGTGATGCCTGCGTGGAAACAGAACACAAACAGACAGGGGATGTTCCAGTTAGTTTATCTTTAGCTGGTTAAACCCTTGTTGAACCTTTCATTCTCTGTCGAAATCAGAATCACAGACATGTATTGATTCAGAAATTAGGAACAAAAACAAATGAGTGGCTCTAATGAATCTCTGAGAGGCGCCTCACTGGGCTGGGCTGGTGTTGATGATAATTTCACCTTCTTTTGAGGTATTCCAATCCCAGGAAACCTGCAGGCTTTACTTTCATAGCAGCTGACAACTGGGTATTCACTTAGAATTGATAAATGAGGAAGATTAACAACGTGCGACGGGGAGAGAGAAGAATGGACTCTGCGGAGGGAGCGAGTGGGCTGTTGTCAGCCTCCTGGTGGCGGTGGATCAGTGGCGTGCTGTGTGTTCCCCTTCCTACTCGTTAACATGCACAACCTGCGAGGCGGGTCTCCAGAGGATGACCCCGAGCCGGCTTCTATCATTAATCAACTTCAAGCAAACACAGCGACCAGACACCGCCATACATGCTTTAAACTCCAAAATGAATGCATATTTTCACCAAGTGTCAATACAAGAAGAAGAGCGCTGGCAGGAAGGTGCGCGAGCAGAGCAGAAAGGCACACTCAACACAACACTGTGATATGAAACAGAGCCCTTATGAGAATAATAACGCTGTCAGTTGTAAACAAGGCAAAACATGAACCCAGCCCACTGCCTGGGCAAAGGAGGCGCTAAAGAGATGAGATCTGCCAAATTCTCATTACAGAAACACTGCAGGAATAAAGCACACGTGAAGGAGGCCCGACTGGCGCAGAGAGGAGGTAGTACATTATTTGTAGCTGCAGGATATTTCCCATTCGAACCATTTATTTTTAGAAATGGATACATGGAGTCAAATATCGATATAATATCATCCAAAAATAATATAGCGATATGTAACTGTATACATTTATTTCCCACATCACTAGATGTCAGTATGAGACGCTGAGCCCATTTTGACCAGCGACCAGGGACATGCATGTTCCACCCCAGTCTCATTAGATTTATTTACCCACAATTGTCAAACAAATTTGATTTATTTACCCTTTGATGGGTAAATAAATGGACAAGCTTTCAATGCAAATGAGCTGACAATGTTTGGTGTTATAAAACAGGGAGAAAAGTAAAGTCAGCTTTTCTATTGGTTTCAGATCAAAGTAACTCCACAAGTCACATCGCCTCAGGTCTCAATCCCTAGCTGCAGGGCAAACATGAAATTGTTATTATTATGCTACTGAACTGCATGCTGATTCCACACTCTGCTTTTAATTAGCTGGCTGAGGCTGGATACCTGATTATAGTCTTCCTGTAAAATAGAACAGCCTTGGTTTCCTCTCTGTGTTAAAAGCCTAACTCTGACTAAGACCATGCAGGGCTGTGAGATAGGCAGCTGGTAAACACCTGTAAGGCCTGGGCCACTCCATAGCCAGCCTGTTGTCTGTACACTAGTTGAAGAGCTGTGAGGTTTTGGGTCTGTGAGCCAGGTTTGGTTCGGGTGGGACGAGGATGTTGTGATTCTGTAGCTTGTGTGAGGTGCATCTCTCAGAGAATAGAGAGGAGAGAAGGAGCCGGCTTTAGAGTGATAGAGGGTGCTAGCTAGTAAACCTGAACGTTTGTTTGAAGGCGTGCTGCTTCATAGAAGATAGAAGAAATGTGGCTTTGCGTGAACGCACTGAAGTTGAACGCTCTGACAAATTTTGTACTCATATAAAGCTTATCCACATACAGTAATTGTGAAAAAGCTCAGAATATGGGCTTTATCAGCCTCAAGATAAAGAGAGGGAGAGACACAGGCAGCCTTTGGGCCAGCACACCCATCCTGTCTCTGCCTTTCCTGTTCCAGAGCGATGCCCAAAGCTATGTTCACAGTGATTAAGGATGCCACTTTTCTCCATTTCGCCACAAGCTCAATACTGCACCTTTTTGTTTTCCGGCACAATTTCCCTCTAGCTCTGATGTTGTACGGGGCCATCCCTAAATCTAGCATAGCTGCACAACGGTGTTCTGCCCCACATCTGGAAACGATGCTGCCTGCCCCGTATTATTTTAGGCTTCAGACAACTTAGCAGACACTCCTATACAACAAGTGAATAGGGAACTGCGGTTTCCAAGCCGACCACAGCTTTCCTACATGGGAATCTTGGACTATTTCTTCTAGACTAATTATGCTTTATTGTTGTTTTTCTTTCGATGGCTCACAGGGTTTTGAACGTGTTGCAGCTCATGTTTCAGTGTGGAGGAGACAGCAGCTTTGTCACTATGCTTTCTGGCATTTTGTAAATATTTTAACAAATTGAAGAGGTGATTATGGCAGGACTCAGCAGACAGCATGACACATTTTTGAACCGTAATAAAGGAGAGCTGATAAACTTTGTGTTGAAATAACAGAGGGCTCCGGTCTTTTCTTCCCGGCCTTGCCTGGCTTTGAAACCTTCCAGAAGGTGGAGTTTCCATTTTCAGGGAGGGCTGCAGCCACAGTCCTGACCCATCATTCATCTGCGCCAATATCATCCTCTCTTTATTTATAATCCTTTTTAGCACTGTTCATTTAGTATAACATTTACATTTAATATCAAATTCTAAAGCATTTGGGTGGATATTTAAATGTTCTATCAAAATCCATTATATTTGGAATCTATTTGAATCAGTGGAGACCAGCTGAAACTCTTTCCTTCCCTCCAGTCTTAAACAAATACTGTAGATAAAAAGTAAGGAGCCACTCACATAGCTGGCAAGGGAGAGCGTCCTGGACTGCTGTCACTACCGTTGCTGTTTCCATGGTCCATCGCTCCGTTCATCTCCTCTCGGATGGCATTCGCCAGGGAGTTGAGGGTGGGACTTCCAATGGAAGCAGTAGTGTATAGAGGTATGTTGTTTTCTGCCATTGAAGCCTGAAAAGCATGCACAGTGTTAAAACGGTGAAACGGAAGAAAACTGTCAGCACTTTTCAGCCTGCCATCCCACCACCCGTACATCCAAAACAAGGAAGAGTGACCAGGAATAGGAGGTGGACACAGTGTTATGTTTATTATTTCCTGCCTTTCTTTCCCTCACAGTAAAAGGGTAAAAGGTAAAGTAGTGAACGCCCAGAGAGCTTGAGACTGAGTCAGTATTCACATTTACCTGGAAGGCTGCAGAGAGAGCCGGCCCATAACCCAAGCTGGTCTGGATGTTCTTCACTAAGGCTGGACTTCTGCAGACAACAACTTTAGTTTAGAAAATGCTCATCATTCATTTCATACAATTCATGCAATTTTATCAATCACCAAAAGCACACAGAATAATTTCAATTCATTGTAAGGAAGACAAAACAGGTTGATGGAAGCAGGTTGTGTAAAAGCATGATGTATGAAGGAAGAGCTGAACACAGAGGCATGATGGGAACACAGAGGCATGATGGGAACACAGAGGCAGAGCATGCAGGAGGTGGGGGGCGAGGGTCTGGGGGGGAGTTGGGGGTCAGCAGGCAGGGTGGGCCAGGCGGAAGTGCTTACTGTACGAGCAGCTCATCAAAGTTCTCATCAGCGGTGTATTTCCGAGGGCGGCCTCGCTGTACGTGGCGGCCGCGTTTAAACTCCTCATCATCAACAGTCCAAAAGGACCCAAACTCATCCTCTACTCTCACAAAGCACTTATGCAGGGAAAGGTTGGTGCGAATGGCACCCTGAGCGGGAGACAAGCATCAGGGCAGCCAGATGCAGATGCAGTGATCACAACACAACAACACAGGGACAGACAGACAGATAGACAGAGGGACAGACAGACCAACACCAGTCACAGACAGAGGGACAAGGGAGGAGAGGGAGATGATCAAAATGAAAATAAGCACAAGCCAATGTGGGTTTTGGTACACCACCACGGGTAGGACACTGAAAGCATGGGGGATGCTGCACACTAAAGCAAACAGCGACTTTGGGGGACATCGTGGCACGCAGACAATGACATGGAGCAGCCTCTTCCCATAGATCCACAACCAGACAAACGCCAGAGTCGGCCAGAGATGGCAGACCTACCCACTGATCTTTTGTGGCCTTCTCTTTTGGAACTCTAGTTCATCCACTGTCCACACAGCCCCTTTAACGTTTTCTACTCGCACAAAACACTTGTGAAGACTAAGATTATGCCGGACTGCGTTCTGCAGTTGGTGTAAAAAAAAAGAAGGGAGAGAAAAATTCTATCAACACAAGAAAATGTCTAATCATGAACCATTTCATCTCAGAGAAGAAACATTTATAGACAGGCACATGATAGAACCTGGACATAATACAGTACATTATTTCAAGTATCAGTGATATATTGGCAGTAGACTGCCAAAAAGTTTCAAATGACAAAAACATTGTGGAAATATTTTCCAGTTACTATGGCAATACAGTTTCATTTCATCAACATCCTTTTAAAATATCATTCATAGAGCTTTAATTTATGATGAGCCATTTGAGAAGAGCCTTCTGTAAGACCTTGATAACAAAAACCCAGACTGAACAAAGACCTTGATCAAATAAACCAGTCTGTTTGGTTTGTCAGTTTCAGTTATGACCTTACCTACAATTTAACAATAATGGAGAAGACACATTTCCAAAAGCTTTAGCTTTTGGGTTATATGATAAGCTTTTTCATAAGACCATTGGCAGAGTATGCAGGTTACTTTTCTTAAAGTGGCAATCAGCAGTTGAAACAATAACAAAGCGCCACTGTTTCGGTAAAAAGCTGAGGGATGAGGCTGGAGAATTCAAAGACAGAGCTATGGATGCAAACGGTGACCATCCATGCTATCAAAATGATAGTTTTAACCATGTTTTGAGGGTATACAGTGTTTGTTAACATTTACTTTGCTTAAAATATGCATAAAAGAAGCTTATACTTTGGGTTCTGATGTGGTACGACAGTTAAACTAAGCTCATGAGGCATTTATAAGTTATATTGTTTGAAGAAGTGTACTTACTGTGATCAAGATGTGGTTGTCCCACTGGCTATCCTAAGTTGAATGCACCAATTTGTAAGTCGCTCTGGATAAGAGCGTCTGCTAAATGACTTAAATGTTAAATGTTAAATATTATTTAAGAATCAATGGGTACATCTAATTTATTTATAAGTCCGAAAATGGATGTAGCAACTGCAGATTGCCCCTTTAAATAAACCAATCACTGACACATGAGACTGACACATGAGATTGGAACTCCGTATAAGTATTGGTCCTTTGTCATCTGAGTGCTTTATTGAGTGTGTGTGTGTGTGTGTGTGTGTGTGTGTGTGTGTGTGTGTGTGTGTGTGTGTGTGTGTGTGTGGTGCGTGTGTGTGCGTGTGTGTGTGTACGTGCATGCATGCATGTGTGTGTGTGCATGTGAATCTCTATGCTACACTCTCAGCAGTGTTTCACAGTGTGGGATTTGGTGTTTAAAACTTCATTGTGCCCCTATGGTAGGGCTGTCAGCGGAAGTTAAAAAGAGAGGACAGTGAGCTGTGGAGGGGGGCTGGTGGGGGGGGGGGCTTGGGGGTTTATTCACAGCTGCACTGTGGATACGCTACACTACAGGCCCTCCCTGCCTTATGAGGGTAGCCTTCAATGCTTCATCACTCTCTTTTCTCCTACTCCTCCGCTTCTCCTCTCTTTCTAACCCCTCTCTTTTTCTCTCTCTGTTTCTCTGGGGTTTGTCTGCCTGTGTGTGTGTGGCCCAGTGGAAAAGGTGTTCTCAGTTTAAATTCTGTGGGAGGGTCTCGGCCAGGAGTCCCTGGCAGCACTGTGGAGCGTTAAACTCATGCCACCCACCACCAAAAACATCTCCAAATATTAGCTGGGGATTTTCTTTTACAAGAATGCACAATTTCCCTCATCATTTTTCTGCGAGGTTACAGACAGTGTTTGTGTTAGAGGTGTCTCTATTCGGATAGAATAAGCAGGCACAGTTATGAATTGGGTAAAGGTTCATTCATTGCTTTTAAACTTGATATATTTGACTATCATTTAATTCCACAAGATCAACACAACAGTCCCTGCCCTTTATATTAGTCTAAGGAAGTCAAAGTGAAGAGTTATTTTACCTTCCATGTTGCGGCATTGCGCCTGAAATATGCAAACATTCGTGTGAACCAGTTGTAAATTTCATTTAGTGTTAGCTGCTTTTCCGGTGATTCAAGGATAGCCTGGAAAAAAGAGACAGAAACAACATTTAACATTTTGTTCACTCTGAAAAACAATATATTATTCACAAGTGGCATGAAGGTTGTGTGTGCTCTCCTGAAAGAACACAGACTACAGTGCATCGTCTGTCCGTGTGATGATGTGGATGATGTGTGCCCTCTCGCTTTCTTTATGGAACACTGTCTGGTTCCCATTCAAATCTCACAATTTGAATATATTTCTTTTTTCAGTGTAAATGGAGGGAAGCAAAAACAATTCTCAGGCAGATTACAGGCCAGCAATTATGACAGGCTCAGATAAATTCCTGAGATCACAGATTACTGCGGGCTGGCCGATAATTGACTGGCCATCTTAAAACAGGTTCGTCCCTACTGTTGTGTGAAATGAATTTCATAATAATCACATCCACTGTAATGCTTAATCAAAAGCAAATGTTATATATGGCCGTTTTTGGAGTCCCGAGTGCATTCTTGCACTCATTTGCAGATGGTTAATCTTCTGCTGCGCGTCTAAATTGTATTTGAAATTTAACAAGGAAGGGAGAGAAAATAAGTGGACAATAAGCAGTCTGTGTCTTGGCTGAATATTTATCTACTGCGTGTTCTGTTAACCACAGAAGCCACTGAAGCAGATTAAAGGCCCTATTCCTTTAAGTGACAGATTAAATACATTGCAAGTTACCAGCCCAGAGAAGAGCAGAGTGGAGGCATCCGACCAAAGGATCCTTACCTGGCGTATAAGCGAGGCATATGTGAAGGGAGGTCTGACTTCAGCGTTCATGTAGAACTCTTTGTTCTGGACAATATCTGTACAAAGGGAGCAAACACAACATACAGACGAACATAGAGAAAGGCCATAGTCAGTAGCTATTATAGATACGTTTCCAGTCTGCTAGATTTGAAATTGTATGTGTGTGTGTGTGTGTGTGTGTGGTATATGCGTCCAGTACCTGGGGAAATGGGCATGTTGTACTTGTCAGAGTAGCGCCGGCGCATGGGGCCCACGCTGTGGTGGAGGCTGTTGGGGGTGATGACGGAGTGGGCCTGGGACAGGGGCGTCAGGGGGGCCGTGGGGGTGGTAGGGGTCTGGGGCAGGCTCAGAGGGGGCGAGGCCTCAGGCGGGGCTGTTTTGGACAGGGTGACGTTGGACACCAGGTTGAGCTGGGAGGGAGAGTAAACAAAACAAAACACAGACAGACAGACAGACAGACAAGAGCTCGTTAATTACCCAGCGTCTCAGACGCCTCATTGGCTAGTCTGATCACAGCTGTAATTATGGGCAACCCTGAGGATGATCCGTGAACGGTCGCTAAACGTTTAGAAAACAACCGAGGAGTCCTGCTCATTCTCTAACGGCTCAGCTCCCAGCTCTCTGTTTTCTTCCCTTTGTTTGATCTACTGGCATCACATCCCCGTGGCGACTGGCGAGGGGAGATGGGCGGCCCTAACAGCCCTGACAAATGACAATGTGATTCTTACCTACCGCTGAGCAGCTACTAATAAGCCACGGAAAGGAAGCGGCCAATCTGGGCTAATTACAAGCTGAAATTGTATTGTAAGGACTCTAATTAGGAGATGCTTATGGAGGTGATCTGATGATTAAATGCTGTATCTGAATGACCCCATCACCTGGGCTGTCTGGCGCAAGACGGATCCCAAATATTTGGTAGAGAGGGAGAGTGAGAGGGGTGGCTTTTCTGTCAAGGGTGGGGGTGTGGGGAGGGATATTAGTAATAATGGCTACAAGGTAAACGAATTAAGCCAAGTGCTCTGAACGTATACCATGGCTTCCAGCAGCTGTGGCTGCTTCCAAACACTGCCAAGCCTCCACAGTGGAGCAGCAGTCAAGTGGAAAATTCGAGTCTGACCCATTGCTCCAGCTATTAATTTGCAGGAAAGCTAATGACACATATACATATTCCCACAAAATTGTTCTAATTGCTCATTTGCCGAAGGAGGCCAGTTCCCAAATTAAACATGACTTCAGTCTGCAAGGAATGAGGGGAGGAAAAAACAGAGAGAGAGAGAAAGCGAGAGAGAGTGGGCAGGAGGAGTCTCATCTTTGACAATCATTTGTGGATTGTGCTAACAAATGTATGAAATGCCAAGGTTGTCAATTGCTTTGGAGGTATCAGATATCTAATTTTAGCTGATAATGGTTGTAGGTGACAGTGGAGATGCAGGGCTTGCAGGTGAAAGTGAACAGACAGTGTTTAACATCTCAACCCCCACATGGATCCTCCACGGCCACCCAATTACCACAACCCTATTAGCAGTCATTACCACCAAGATGGCCCCACATGATAGACAGGTATATAATAAAGATATCTGGGGCTGCCTGCACGGCTGGCACCACTGCTATATTCATCCTTGACATGACATTGACTTAACGAGGTTACGGCTAGTGTGATTTTTTGAATTAATTGTAGTCTGTGTATTTGTATTCATTTGCATTACACCTGCTAAAACATGGGTATTGTGTCTGTTTTTTTCTGCATCAATAGAGATATGTGTAAATACAGCATGTAATGTTTATTAAGAATTCTGAGGCCAGAATATCCCTTTTGGCAGAGTTCTACACAAATGATGTGTTTCACAATTCATGTAAGCACATAAATGTATACGGTACATTCACTACTGTACGAGTGTGTTATTCTAAATCAAGGGCCAAATAAATCACACTTGTGTTGGTTGTTTTCTGACACAATACTATCAATAGACCTATTTTCCTGTGGATTAGCAGTCTTTGTTTCATGTTTCATCCATATTCCCCTGCCAAAAACAGTGAGTGGCCCTCAACAATAGGCCAGACAGCCTGGTAATAGCCTTTCTTTCTTTCCCTCAGCATTTGGGCTCACTCCAGTGCAGAGACAAAATGAGACTTCAGACAGAAATTAATTAAATGGTAATTGGTGATCTAATTATACTGGCTTTGACTTGCCAAACTGCTAAAGAAAATAAACAAAAAGTCCCTCCTTAATTATGTACTGCAAAAAGGTCAGACTTCTGACAAGAATGCTTAGTGACACCAACTACAGACACCCACCCCCGCGTGGGCCCACACAAAGACAAACACAAACACACACGCATGCACACACACACTGACTGTTTATGCACAGTATTGTCTTCATCTTTTTTTTCTCTTTTTTTTTTTTTTTTTTTTACAGCTCATAGGAATAAATTCAATTATATTCAGTTGACACTGTGTATGTACAGTATCTGTTACGTATTTAATTAGGACTAACTGTAAAATAGTAACTGTAAAATGGTAACTGTAAAATAGTAACTGTAAAATGGTAACTGTAAAATAGTAACTGTAAAATGGTAACTGTAAAATAGTAACTGTAAATGGTAACTGTAAAATAGTAACTGTAAAATGGTAACTGTAAAATGCAGGCAATTGCTGTTGTTTGATGTGACTGAATGTTTTTTCTCCCATCAACACCCACTCCCTGAACAGTCTATAGTCTAAAGCCAGGTCTAACTCAGAGGTCATCTCCAGCTCTTGTCTAACTGAGAGCTCCAGCTGGGACTCAGGCCCTGACCTGTGAGATTCCCCCACTGATCCAGCCACCGAGCCACACCACAGCTAGACACATTTATCATAGCAACTACCAGCACGCACTGCACCACCGCTGGAGAATGCAGGAAATGTATTTATTTGAATAAAACCAGCACTGGTCTGGTACCCACCCCGCAGAGCTTTAACACAGAGCCCTGACACAACCATTCCCACTGGCCCTGGGGAGAGGAGAGGTAGAGAAGTCAAGATGCTATCTGCTGCCCCAGCTACTTTTCATATACAAATGTCCATGTGGCAGGCACTCGTTCCGAAGCCTAATCTACACAATCAGTGTGTGTGACAGAGGCAAAGCTCCAACAAGCAGCCTATTGTCACATCTCCAGGCACTTTATGTTGACTGCCTGCCTTCCTGCCTGCCTTCCTGCGCTGTGTGGCGTGCCGTACAGAGACTCTGCCCGTCAATAGCTCCAGACTGACTGTAAATAAATGATTGAGGCTTTGAAAGGAACTCGTCAGAGGAGAGGTTCTCTCTGTGTAAGTGTGTAAGTGTGTGAGTGTGCCTCTTTGTGTGTGCCTCTGTGTTCAGCCCAGCAGTGTAATGGCCCTCATGCCTTCGGCACTATGAATGAACTGTCACAATGACTGAACTATGGTAATGGGGCTCCTTCTTAAACATGACAAAATAGCAGTATGCTGTATGTTAAGTGGTACCCCTATAAGACAAGGATTAAACATTAAGTTATATCATGCTGATATAAGACACATGGTGTTATGGTCCGAAAAATGTGGCAAGATAAGGAATTGAACAGCCATCACAATTGCTCTTAATTTGAGAAACATGTTGTATTTCTGAAGCTTATTTGGTGGAATCCCCAGTATACCATCTTCACAACCAATTGAAGATGTTGAGGAGATTTTTCAATTTCAAAGAAACGTCTATATTTTACCATGCTACAGAGGTCTATGGTGTCAGCTCATACCAACACTAGTTCAGCCACTACTGAATGCTATTACCACGTGCTCTGAGTTAATCATCAGAACAAAATTGAATCTGGGATGTCAAAATATGTGATCCAAACAATATTAAGTGCTCCTCTCAAGTGAGCAGCTGCTTTTGTTTAGCAGATAAATAAAGAGATGAGGAAATATTTTAATAAATATATGTGTGGCAATTAGACAAACGAGAGAAGAGGAGGACGGAAAACAGGCATATGATAGAGCTTTTACTCACTGGCTGTGGGGTGGGTTTGGGCTCTGTGGATTTAACGTGGAGATGCGTCATCATGGCTTGAAGACGTTCTTTGTCTTTTGCTAGCTGTAATGAGAAGGAAAAAACAGCCATTAAATCCTTTATGAACAAAAATCTAATTCTCTGTAGTACAATCCAATACATTATGTTCTTTCTCACTGTATGTCATATATCCAGTAGAAAGTAGTTTTTTAATATGTTGTTCTGATTATAAACCTTTGTGTATTTTGATACCTTAATGTTCATGCACAAGTCTACCTGGCGATGTCTCTTCTTCAAGGTTAAACTATACTCTAGGTCCCATTGCCAATAACAAACCCTGGATCTGCCTACCTGTCCTAAACTGTCCACTATGTCTTACAGTAGCTGCCAGGTCACATTATAGAGATACGCTGGGTTAGGAGGCGGAATCAGGATGTGTCTGATAAACTCGCACACTTTGAGTCGCTCTCAATGACACACAACCAGAGCATAAATAATAAGTAAGATGGTAGTGTTGTGAAATGCTTAACTGAACTTGTAACCTCGTTGTTCGAGGTTAAAATTCTGTTAATCGTCATTGCTTTGTACTCTTGATAAATGGAAGTGTATACAGCATTGAATCTGTTATACATACAAATGCCATTGATTACAATGCCTGCTTAGCAGCAACAACAACAACAAATTACACAAAAAGAACAGTTAATGGCATGGTTCGTTAGGTCTACCTTTCAGTTGTAATATAACATGTGCAAACCTTCCCCAAAGACACCTGATTCCTGCCTAGTGGGCATTGTGACCAGTTAGTGTTCAGACCCACCTCTCCACAGCCCTTACTTACACACACTAATGTACCAAAATTGTGCCATCCCTTTTTCCATTAGCGCATACTTAATGTACATATGTATATTTTCCAGGGTCCCTCGTATGGACGAAGTGCCTATCAGGCCACTCATAGGGAGGACTACATTAATATTCCTGATCACTGTTATTTGTGAGAAATATGGTATCGTATCTTTTTGTTCCAATAAACCTAGTCGACACTGAGGAAGCCCATCGTTGGCTGCTGCCTGAGCATTTCAATAAGTGTTTTATTGTTGGTGCCAAACAGTTTAAAGTCATAAATAACCTTAAAACCCAGTAAAATTCTAAATGTAATTATCTTCTCTACTTAGCCCCGGAGCCCTTCATATATCTTTGTCTGGCTGTCATGCATACATAACACATTTTTAATGACTGGTTACTCACAAATGTACAAAATAATTTCATTCTTTCACCCCCCTCAATGTGTGACCCATGGTTCATATCTGCGAAATGGAGGGAGCGGGAGGGGGGAGCGGTAGACAGAGGAAGTGTCAGGAAAGGAGCCACGCATATTTGGGTGAAAACGAGAGACAATACCTGTAGTTCCAGCTGCTGTACGACCTGCATTTGCACCCGACACTGGGCTGTGCTCCTGTCGTCCAGGGCGTGCTCATTGTTGAGATGCCTGAGAGGAAACAGAACAGAGAAAACAAAGATTCTGAGCTCAATGTGTCTTCACATGGTTTTAATGCAGCCTTTTATACAATTTGATCCAAATCCTATAATGCTTTATGTGATTACGTGATCTAGTAATACCTCTGTATGGGTACTGTGGGAATAAAGTAGGAATGGTGAACACACATGCTGATAATAATGAGTAAATACTGTGCAGATCCAGAAATATAAAACTACCCTAATATTACCAGGATTTATATAACAATATCTGCATAACCTGAAAAGGAATTCTTTAAGCAAAGAAGAATGGAATCCATATTTCATGAGGTGGCCATATCTGCTCAAACTTAACTTCATAGCTAAGAAAAATGACTTAAGAATTTCAGGTTGGATTAATTTTGGAAATTATGCAGTGTTTCACTGTGCAACCTTTCTTTTCAAAGATTTCTGGTTGGCATATTCTCCTTATTTTGGTGGCTTTTTTAGTTAATTATGTCATCAAGATGAAGAGAACTCAAATGAAGCCAGAAGGAAAGGCAAAGGACAACAAGAAGAAGAGAGATGGAATCTGTCACAAACTTGAATTATGAATATAATTATGCATGATTATTTTATACTGCGAAGATGTTCTCTTTTCCTGCACATTTTTACTAATCTAAATAAGTAGCTTGCCCGGCAGCAGACAGGATTTTTTCCGTGATTTATATAAAATGGTGGAGATAAGGTTCACGAGTGAAGGAAATATGATTGGAGGATTTTTATCAGCCTCCGCATGAATTACTGTTTGAAAATGCTTATGCAGGGGCATTTCATTAATCATTTAATCATAATCCGAGCAGGATGTTTGAACTGATTTCACAAATACCCTTTCATTTCACTACTTCATTATGCTCGCTAATGGATCCAATATATTATATATATCATAAATTATATCACATCTTCAGTGACCATGTAGGTCACTGTCACTATGCATGCCTCTACGCACTCACAGTGGTGCCGGCGGAGGGAGGAATGGTGTGCGACGTGCCTGCCTTCTCAAATACACTTTTTCTGTCATTTATTGCAAATCAAAGTAGCCAGACCTGACCGGGGCAGTAGCAATAGCAGGCCGGGCTGATATGATGGCCCAATAAATCTAAAGGCCACCCTGGCAGTTTTGTTGTGGGCCGATTGCTTAACACACCGACAACACATTTGTGCATTAAAAAGCCACAGACACACACAAAACTGACATAATGTGAAGGGAGGGGAAATTGATGGCATTCTGCTTGAATGTGAAGGTTTCTCTTTTAGTGGACTATTTTCAACCTTGGGCACAGTGATTTAAATCTTTATGGAAAATACACTGCTTTTCAGATGGCGCTGTTGTATATATATTTGTAAATAGTATGTAATATATATTTAGTATTTTCAATTTAATTATTTTGACAAAAAGACAGAAATGAAGGCACATCTGAAGAAAGCGTGAACGATAACCCTGCCTGCTGAAATCAATTCTGTCCACTCTCAGCTTCACATTTATCTGAATTAAATAAAATACCATTGAATTAAGTAGGTTGAAACTGGTAAACATTTCAGCACATCTTACCATTTTTTTTTTAATAAATAGGTAAAGACGTTTCAACTTCAATTTATTTAACCGGCATAGACTGCATTTTCAATGAAGGGTGCCCTACGTGATGAGCTTTGGAATGTCTCTGTTCATGGAAGCCATGCACCTCACTTCTCTTCATCCTTTGTTACATTCACATTTTTTTTCTTCTAATGACATGGAGAGTCACAGTGCATAATTAATAGGAAATGAAATATTCAAATGGCCCCTAATGCAGCCCTGCGAAGAGCGTCTGGACACGTGGAGCTAGCTGGGGATACGGGGAATTGACATCGAGAGACACTATGAACGTTGGCATGTGTCACTTTCTGGACTTGAAATGAAGCAGATTTTAAAAGCTTTCTGGCAGGATGACAGTCCCTAATGTAAATTGCCACAATAAAACAAGTTAAATAGACATTCCTTAAACAGTCAGCTTTTTACTTATCATTTAGGGTGCCTTTCTTTTTCTACTGGTTTTAATTATATACACTGGACCCACTACTTTGGACCAGCCCTATGGCACATGTCCATATACTCTGTAGCTGATCATTGTGTACATTTTAATTTCTATTTTCATTGTTTTCAACAAAACTGTTTGCACATCGGGTAGAAACTGCATTTTAAATATAAGATATTCAAGAATATTGTTCAATGATTTTAAGAGACATCTTTTAGGAGACATATGTTGAGAAATATGAAGAACAACATTGTCTACAAAAGACATATCCACCAAATAGCCTATTCTTCTTAAGCAATTCTCAGAGAGTGTTGAGGTATGAGAGTTAGTTAGTTTTATGAAAGTGAGAGAGAGGCAGAGGGTGCAGCACTAGAGGGCAGTGCAGTGTTTCACTGGCTGTGACCTTTGAAAGGCCACTGAAGAGGTGGTCTTGACCCTCATAAAAACAGTGAGCTCTACTACAAACCGGACCCCACCTCTCACAGCACTGAATTGAAAACAGGATTTGGCCCTTTTTATTTATCGAGATAGTGCATGTAGGTATGTCATGTTTTCTTTAAAAGACAGAATAAATACGCACACAGTTTAAAACAATATTTCAGTCCCGTGTTAGTTGTTGCTGTTGGCATGGCGAGCTGAAATCTGGTTGACGTTAGAGTCCTCCTCACCTTTCCCACTCTCCTATACAGTACTTAGTGTTCTGCTGTCTCTACTGTCTCCTCCAGTTCACTTCCAACATGTCTATCCGCCTGAACATTCATTTATAAATGTATTGTTAGTATATGCCTGATTTATTCATTGTATTTATTTGTGTTTTTGTTTTTTTTGAGACGTGGGGTATCAGTCTCTGGGTTTCATGTGGAAGTGCTTAAGGGTTTGAGAGTTAACACCTTGGTGAGCTGCTTGCTCTCTTGTCTGCTGTTACACAAAGACGGCTTTGTGGAGACTCTCTCCAAAGGTTTTCTTAACATGTTCCAAGCAGTTTATGCAGGCAACTAAAGTAAACAAGATGTTGCCATGATAAAAACACTTGTAAAAACATTGCAGAGTGCACTAAAAGGCTTTTTTCTAAGGAGAGCTTTACCGGGCACACAGATTTTAATTCCTCTCACTTCTATAAACAAAGTGTGAGGCAATGTCAGAATACAATAAATAGTGATGGTTTGAAGGTGACACTCCCAAAACTGGAATGTGAAGGGAGAACAAAATAGACATATTTTTGCTAATTTGTTAAGTCGAAGAACTTGGTGAAAATGTGTTATAAACAGAGTTTAAAAAAACAACTCAAACTTTCTGTGCTTTCTCTCAGTACACATAAATCCAGGGTAGCTTCCATTATTATCATAAAAAATTATCTCAAAGTGTTTTGCGGTGCTGTAAACACTTCAGGACACTTTTCAAAACAAACTTCTCTCAAAGTGACCAGCTGCATAGTATGAAATGAAAAGCCAAACACCGAGTAGGAACAGCAGAACTGTAGTGACTGTTAAGTCTCCACCTACTGTATCTTGTGAGGGACCTCTGTGTGCCCTGACTACTTGTTTTAGTTTAGGCCCAGGATAATGGAAATGTGTCATATCTTGTTTAAAGTGCCACTAATCTGGGGCGACAGACACCCATTGATCTGCTGCCACAGATGTTTTCATCCTCTGTCTCTGTAGCCAGGGTGGTGTTATGGGTTGGATTACCCACAGAACACTGCACACAATGTTGATTAGTAAACAGGGTCAGGCCTGGACATCACAAGCCCAGTTCAGAGTGGATATGAATTAGAAGAAGAAGCCAAAAGACCCTGAGATTGATTCCCCTGTGTCTCAGTTGGTAGAGCATGGCGCTTGCAACGCCAGGGTTGTGGGTTCGATTCCCATGGAGGACCAGTATAACAAAAATAATATGAAAATGTATGCACTCACTACTGTAAGTCGCTCTGGATAAGAGCGTCTGCTAAATTACTAAAATGTAAATGTTTTAGAGGGTCCAACGGCATGGTTATAATTGATGTTGTTGATGAGTAAAACTACTGAATCTGAGACGTGACAATAAGTTAGTTCTGGTGCTGTTATTAAGGCGTGATCTAAAGACAGCTTGTTTGGTGAGAGAGGCAGTGGAGAGACAAAAATAAAGAGCAGAAGAGAAGAGAAAAGCAAACAGAGAGAGACAGAAAGAAAGCAAGAGAAAGAGCTGAGTGAGGGAAGCGAAGGCACACACACCAATCCCTGTCCAGTGACAAGGGCAAACATGCAGAGCGCCCTGAGTGTTGGGTGCCCCAGATAAACATCCTCCCGTTATTTGTTTGGGGGAAATGGCCAGAATCACCATGGGGACGGTACTTATCACAGGAATTAGAGGCCCCTGCAGGGCCCAGTGGAGACCACACCCCAACACCCTCATAGAGAGGCACAACAACACACCCAACACCCACTCACACACATATACAAACATATACGCAAGCACACACACACACACACGTACAGTTGATGTCGGAAGTTTACATACACTTAGGTTGGAGTCATTAAAACTCGTTTTTCAACGACTCCACAAATTTCTTGTTAACAAACTATAGTTTTGGCAAGTCGGTTAGGACATCTACTTTGTGCATGACACAAGTAATTTTTCCAACAATTGTTTACAGACAGATTATTTCACTTTTAATTCACTGTATCACAATTCCAGTGGGTCAGAAGTTTACATACACTAAGTTGACTGTGCCTTTAAACAGCTTGGAAAAATCCAGAAAATTATGTCATGGCTTTAGAAGCTTCTGATAGGCTAATTGACATAATTTGAGTCAATTGGAGTTGTACCTGTGGATGTATTTCAAGGCCTACCTTCAAACTCAGTGCCTCTTTGCTTGACATTATAGGGAAATCAAAAGAAATCAGCCAAGACCTCAGAAAAAAAATTGTTGACCTCCACAAGTCTGGTTCATCCTTGGGAGCAATTCCCAAACGCCTGAAGGTACCACATTCATCTGTACAAACAATAGTACACAAGTATAAACACCATGGGACCACGCAGCCGTCATACCGCTCAGGAAGGAGAAGCATTCTGTCTCCTTGAGATGAACGTACTTTGGTGCGAAAAGTGCAAATCAATCACAGAACAACAGTAAAGAACCTTGTGAAGATGCTGGAGGAAACAGGTACAAAAGTATCTATATCCACAGTAAAACGAATCCTATATCGACATAACCTGAAAGGCCGCTCAGCAAGGAAGAAGCCACTGCTCCAAAACCGCCATAAAAAAGCCAGACTACGGTTTGCAACTGCACATGGGGACAAAGATCATACTTTTTGGAGAAATGTCCTCTGGTCTGATGAAACAAAAATAGAACTGTTTGGCCATAATGACCATTGTTATGTTTGGAGGAAAAAGATGAGATGTTGCAAGCCGAAGAACACCATCCCAACCGTGAAACACGGGGGTGGCAGCATCATGCTGTGGGGGTGCTTTGCTGCAGGAGGGACTGGTGCACTTCACAAAATAGATGGCATCATGAGGAAGGAAAATTATGTGGATATATTGAAGCAACATCTCAAGACATTGGTCAGGAAGTTAAAGCTGGGTCACAAATGGGTCTTCCAAATGGACAACGACCCCAAGCATACTTCCAAAGTTGTGGCAAAATGGCTTAAGGACAACAAAGTCAAGGTATTGGCCTTCACAAAGCCCTGACCTCAATCCTATAGAACATTTGTGGGCAGAACTGAAAAGGCGTGTGCGAGCAAGGAGGCCTACAAACCTGACTCAGTTAAACCAGCTCTGTCAGGAGGAATGGGCCAAAATTCACCCAACTTATTGTAGGAAACTTGTGGAAGTCTACCCGAAACGTTTGACCCAAGCTAAACAATTTAAAGGCAATGCTACCAAATACTAATTGAGTGTATGTAAACTTCTGACCCACTGGGAATGTGATGAAAGAAATAAAAGCTGAAATAAATCATGCTCTCTACTATTATTCTGACATATCACATTCTTAAAATAAAGTGGTGATACTAACTGACCTAAGACAGGGAATTTTTATTAGGATAAATGTCAGGAATTGTGAAAAACTGAGTTTAAATGTATTTGGCTAAGGTGTATGTAAACTTCCGACTTCAAATGTACATGCCCATGTGCACAAATGCACATACACACACACACACACACACACACATAACAACCCGTTGCACCTGTAGTGCCACTGAGCCCCAGGAGAAACCTTAATCGACCCAAGAAGAGGGCCAGACGCCCACGGGAACAAGACACTGGAGTCTGAGGAAGCAAACGTAACATACTGCAGAGAGATGCAGCCTAAAAGCAATGAAACTTACTTCAGGAATGACTGGAAGTCCTCAAACACCGCCTCACATCCAGGCCACTTGCACACCCCGTGCCCATAGAGCGGGTGACTGTGGTGAGAGTGGTGGTGGTGGTCGTCTAGCGTAGATCTGGAAGAGAAAGCCAGACGTACATTAATGCCTGCCTATTAACAGTCTCTTTGTGGAGGATGTTTTAATGGCTGATGATACAGAACTACACCATTTGAAGTGGAGGATGCTGATGGGTTTGGGGAGAATGCCCCTTGTGGTGTCTCAACACAAAAGCCTGTCTTTGTGTTGACCTTTGAACTGTGGGCAGTGTGAGCCTTGTGATCTCTGCTTCCTCTCTGGCTGGAGGTGGCGGCCCTCGTAGGGGCAGCCCTTGTGAGAGGGACCCAATCTGTAATTATTTAATGTCAGTGATCCAAGTAGCAGCCCACTTTGATCCAGGCAGCCAGGGGTTCCCTGAGACGCCCTGACCGCTGAACCCTATCCCAGAACCCACCTGGAGGAACGGGCTGGCCAGTCCCACAACAAAAATCCATCTGCCAGCCTCCCGTCGAGCACAAACAGTAAATACCAAACAGCCCCTGTCTGCTTATTTACCGATCGACGGACGGACGGACCAACCGACATCAGCAGGGGCCAAACACTAGCACAACTGAGGAGAGGCTTACGGCTTCACAACATCCGCTGTAAATACCAGGATCGTCCCGAAAAACAAACTACACAACATCTTCCATATGGCAAGTCAAGTGGAAACACAGAGTATAACCAGAAACAGTACAATGCAGAGGCCTGCGCGTGTAGACGGTTTGTGTTAGAGAGCAAGACAGTCTGCCATATGGACACAGGCACTGTACAAGTGTCAGCTACAAGAGTCTGGGGGACTGTCCTATATCGCTACCACCTGTGCTGCTAGTGGCTCTCTAGTCTAGCACACCACTGCTACTTACGTAATGACCCATTCTGCAGGAGGCTGAGAAGGGAGAGAGGGCAAGGGAAGATTCATTAGGTCCAAATCTCCACAGTACTGTCGTTAGGCATTCAGTCTAACTACTATTGTCTGATTCATATGGATATGCTCTGTGTGTAAATTTGCTCTACTAAGGATGACGGTTGAAAAGCCCTCTGCACAATTTAACCAATCCTAACGCATATAATTACAGAAACAATCTTTCATTTTATATATATATATATATATATATATATATATATATATACATACATATATATATATATATATATATAAATAAAAATTTAATCGGGGTGTGCCAATTTTGCAGGATTAAACTACGCTGTTGTTCAGATTAAAATCTCATTTGTATAGATGTGAGTAAAGCTGTACCTCAAGAAGGAAATTTTAAGGGTCGTCACAGGTTTTCTTGCGTTATAATTACTTGCTTAAGAGTTCACATTGTTCATAACGTGACAATTGCATTACAATTAGGGAGCAGTGAAGCATTCATGAATGTGGTTAACAGTTTTCCCCCCTCAAAAGTAAGACATATTTTAAAAAATCCAATTATGAATTATGCATACACATTAAGACCTCTGTTTTGATACAGCTAATAAATAGATGGTAGAAGATCTATTATAATGACTTTTTAACAAGGAAATGTGTGGACTGTTGAATGTAGTGCTGATTTTTAATTTAAAGAGATCCTTTTTTAATTCTTTACGAGGAGGCATGTTGGTTAATTCTTTATTAATAAGATATTGAATTGTGGAGTGTGTGCTGGGAGTCGGTGAGCACAGAGCTTGGAAGCCTCTGCTTGGCGGCAGAAGAAAACTTTTAAACGGCAAATGACTAAACAGTGGTAAATGACAGAATATACACCAAATGAGCTACATTAGTGTAATAGGAGAAGTGCCTGGGATTCTGTGAGGTTTCTCCCTATTGTGAGCTCATTCTCATTCAGCACTAGGAGAGAAAAAACAGCTCCTTTCCTCAGCTCTCTCTCTCTCTCTCAAATTCTGTGGTGGAGTTAAATGTGACTCGCACCCTGGGCAGGTCTGTTAGGATGCTATTATTGTCAGGCTGCCTTGCTGCCTGGGGGAAGAGAACTCTAATGATCTTGTAACAGCAATGAGGGAAACTGTGTCATCTGCTTCCTGCATAGAATAGGAACAAAAAGCCTCTACCTAGACAGAACGTGGCCAAATCTTCCAGGTGTTGCACTTTGTAAACACCAACAACACATAGGCCTACCATACCGCAGGCAAACACACAACCAGAGCACACTGTACACAATCTGTCTATTTTTGAGTAAGATGCTTTAGGTCATCAACAAGGTATGATCCTAGGGATCATACAGTTCACTGGGACAGTCAGTCTAAGTCTATTGCTACCAAACAGAGAGAGGATTGATGTGTCTACCAAGCAGGGTCAGAGTCTGGACATGGTCTGTCTGTACAGCCAGTCAAAATAAGGTCTATCATCTCTCAGAGTGAGTATCGATGACTACCCCAACTCCATTCTCTCGTCTCTCCTGCCACTCAAGGGTTTACCCCTAAATGATTTAATTATCATTTTCCGGGTGTAAGACAAATTAAAGGCGAGAGAGGGGAGTGTCGTGCCAAATCAGATTATTTATCTCCTTAACAGATTGCTGAGCTGAAGTCCCTGAGCTGTGGTTATTGATGGTTGCTGGGAAGTAAGTGGGCCAAATGCTTTGTAAGGAGGATGCTCTCTCTCTCTCTCTCTCCATATATCTCTCTCTTGCACAAAATGAGTGCAGTGCAGGGATGGGGACTTGATGTCAGGTACAGATAGGATACATTGCATTTATATCAGCGAATCAAAGAGACCTGGCTCACAGGGGTATTTCTCTCCTCACATCCCAAAGCTCGGACCAGCAAGAATGACTAACTGACAGGGAGAGGGCCTTCACCATGTTGGGGCGTATTCAGTCAGGATCCCTGTCTGTCCTGCTACGAGTGAGGGCTCTTGGAGGCTGCTAAAAGTGGGAACAACGTCTCTGCAGTGATTGAATTTCTCCTCCTTCCTTAAGACGGAAGTGAAAAGACCTGTGAATGATGCTTGTGGATGCACTTAAGGTTTTAGTTGCAGGCGTCGCTGTGCCTGGGCAGATTTTATATGACACATGAAACTAACTACATGGTACTTAGGGCTTGCTGTAAACCAATCTGAGCCCAGCCGGGAAAACGGGTCCATCAGAGTGGCTTGTTTCTGTTGCATGACAAAAGGACTTGCAAAACCACATCAATTAAAAGTTCATTACGTTCAGCACTGGGAGGATGAGTGGATGCTCTCTATTTACACCCAGCCCAGGCCATTATCTAAAACCTGATTATTCAAATCCCTGGATTATAACACAGACGTCTCTTATAGCTTTCTATGGAATAATCATGCCTAATAATATTTCAGATTCTGTTTAGAATGGAGTCTGCATCATCAAAAGAGATGAAAAATGCTCTTGATAGTTGTATGATTTAAGCATGTGGAAATTAACATGAGCAAAGGATTATTGGTTACATGAATCTAAATTGGCATCATACAGTGTTTAATAGGGATTTTTTAATTCTCATTTATATCAGTCATCTATATTTTAAAGCCGCGTTTGGAAACGTTGTGTTGCCATCCACAGCACCGGCACAGAACAGAGAGACGGGTGAGAAATCACCTGCTTGGGTTTCTGACAGATCTAAGATACTCTGTGAATATTCAACCCCAGATTGCCTTCTTCACTGGAGCGTGTGTTAAACTGCTGTTGACGTCTTCTTTAATCTCTGACAGGGAGCGCAAGGCATTGGAGGCAGCCTCTCATGCACGTCTTCTCCAATGTTTCAGCTGGGACTTGTTGTTTGGTCACATCTGAAGCAGGTGATGAAGGGAGCGTGTCAATATCCTCCCCTCTGATTAATCTTCAGCCACAGAGGCTAGAGCACAGACTGACTAACTGAGCAGACTGAATGCATCAGGGCCTGTGGATACTGTCTGCACTGAGCTAGGAGAGGTGTCTGGAGCTTGCTGTGTGAGTGTGTGTGTGTGTGTGTGTGTGTGTGTGTGTGTGTGTGTGTGTGTGTGTGTGTGTGTGTGTGTGTGTGTGTGTGTGTGTGTGTGTGTGTGTGTGTGTGTGTGTGTGCATGTGTGTGTGTGTGCTGTGTGTGGCTGGGACAGTGTGTGCAAAGGATAGAGGTGGATCTATCTGTGTTTCCATGTAATATCTCAGTGAAATGTGGACATTCTGTGTGACCTCATAGTCAAAATATAAGAAAGGAGTGTCAAAATACTGATGTCACACCGCTTGACCTAAAATGTCTCACATTATATTGAAACAAATGCATGTGATGAACTAGTATCCCGTAATCAGTAAAACATATAGCATTTATTTCCTTTCCAAATAAGGCATTCCAAGGTCCCCCATTAAGCTATAGCTGTGTGAGATAATCAGTTAGTCAGTCAGGTTCTCCATGCAGGCCTGTATCTCCCCACTACTACCATAGAGGACTATCTATCTGCCTGTCTGTGTTTGAACCCCTCTCCACCTCCCAAGGCCTGATGGTTTAGAGTGCTAAACGTGTTTTCATCTGCATTGCCTTCATAATGACACACAGGTTTTGATCAGTGAAACACAAGTCAGATGTTGTGCAGTGAGCTCATGGCGCCTGGAGGCTTCTCACCAGCAGTTCAGAGATCAGCGCCTCAGTGCAAGAAAGCAAGTCAACGTGTTGGATGCCAAATTAATTCCTTCCTTAAAGACACAGAGGCTCAGGGAAATATTTTGGAAAACCTACAAATATCACATCAAGCCTCCAACGAAAAGAGGGGTTGTCTAACTTAGATACATCAGATCAACATCGTTTTCAAATATTGATAGTGTATTTTTTATATCATGTAATAATAAATGGTCTCTGTTTGACACATACACTACCGTTCAAAAGTTTGGGGTCACTTCGAAATGTCCTTGTTTTCCATGAAAACATACATGAAATGAGTTTGAATAGGAAATATAGCAAAATGCATAGGAAATGTAGTCATTGACAAGGTTAGAAATAATGATTTTTAATTGAAATAATAATTGTGTCCTTCAAACTTTGCTTTCGTCAAAGAATCCTCAATTTGCAGCAATTACAGCCTTGCATACCTTTGGCATTCTAGTTGTCAATTTCTTGAGGTAATCTGAATAGATTTCACCCCATGCTTCCTGAAGCACCTCCCACAAGATGGTTTGGCTTTATGGGCACTTCATATGTACCATACGGTTAAGCTGCTCCCACAACAGCTCAATAGGGTTGAGATCCGATGACTGTGCTGGCCCCTCCATTATAGACAGAATACCAGCTGACTGCTTCTTCCCTAAATAGTTCTTGCATAGTTTGGAGCTGTGCTTTGGGTCATTGTCCTGTTGTAGGAGGAAATTGGCTTAAATCAAGGGCCGTCCACAGGGTATGGCATGGCGTCTTCAAGATCCCTTTTACCCTGTACAAATCTCCCACTTTACCACCACCAAAGCACCCCCAGGCAATCACATTGCCTCCACCATGCTTGACAGATGGCATCAAGCACTCCTCCAGCATCTTTTCATTTGGTCTGAGTCTCACAAATGTTCTTCTTTGTGATCCGAACACCTCAAACTTCGATTTGTCTGTCCATAACACTTTTTTCCAATCTTCCTCTGTCCAGTGTCTGTGTTCTTTTGCCCATCTTTTCTTTTTATTGGCCAGTCTGAGATATGGCTTTTTCTTTGCAACTCTGCCTAGAAGGTCAGCATCCCGGAGTCACCTCTTCACTGTTGACGTTGAGACTGGTGTTTTGCGGGTACTATTTAATGAAGCTGCCAGTTGAGGACCTGTGAGGCGTCTGTTTCTCAAACTAGACACTCTAATGTATTTGTCCTCTTTCTCAGTTGTGCACCGGGGCCTCCCACTCCTCTTTCTATTCTGGTTAGAGACAGTTTGCGCTGTTCTGTGAAGGGAGTAGTACACAGCGTTGTACGAGATCTTCAGTTTCTTGGCAATTTCTCGCATAGAATAGCCTTCACTTCTCAGAACAAGAATAGACTGATGAGTTTCAGAAGAAAGTTATTTGTTTCTGGCCATTTTGAGCCTGTAATCAAACCCACAATTGCTGATGCTCCAGACACTCAACTAGTCTCAAGAAGGCCAGTTTTATTGCTTCTTTAATCAGCACAACAGTTTTCAGCTGTGCTAACATAATTGCAAAAGGGTTTTCTATTGATCAGTTTCTTTTGAACGGTAGTGTATTCCAATTAAAGTTAGAATGTGTTTTTATTTAGTTATGTAATATAAATGATGCTAATTATATTTAACTAAAGAATACAGTAGATTAACTGTATAGTCTGAATTGCTTGGCTTCAATATGTTCTGAACGCCACACCTATAGAAGGCTAGTTGTCTCTTCTATTGTATTGTGAAATTGCTATATGTTTTTACCAATGTCAGAAACGTCACTATCCGGAGGGAAAGCGAAGGTTGCAGGGTGTGTGTTTTTCTGTTGTTGAGAGGACGTTGGTAATTTGAATTGTATTTAACCAAACGGAGCCCTGCAAGTCACAGCTGCAGTTTCCTAAGTGCAACTGAAATAACAGCACCCTTGACCCTCTAATTAATAGTGTGCTGATCCCATTTCCATTACTGCAATCTAAACTCCAAATCACTCCCTCGCTCCCAGGTGTTTCACTGCAATCCCCAGCTGGATTCAGAAACACAGAACAAGCATGTGTCTTAATGAAAATAGGAAGGTACTTACAAACTATAAATTAATATTCATCTGTGGGCAAAGCCCTATGGGAACATGTCCATCAACTTAGACCCCTTCAAGGAATTGCAGTTTTTAAATGGGGGCGATGTAGGCCTCCTGTTTTCTTTAGTCAAAGATGACAGCAAAGAGAATGTCACACATAATGAGTTCCAGTTAGATTTTTTTTTCATGAAGTAGAAAGGACATATGTATGCCTAGTTGCACCCCAGTTTAGAAAAAGAGGTCAGATTGTGGCGAATATCATAATCTGTGGTATCTTTAATGTTAAATCAATGAGCACAACTTCATTAGTAACACATTCAGTCACATCCCATTCCCTGGAAATATAAAACCTATTGTACCCAGCATGTTACACAGAAGCTGTTGGCTCAGGAGGAAGAGGAAGCCAGATAGCGAGAGAGAGAGAGACAACTCACCCTTCTCTCTTCAGAGAGTGGCTCATGTACTGTCCGTTGGTGGAGGCGTGTTGGTTGAGGAGGGGGTTCTTGGGGGGTTGTGGCGAGGACAGGTCCAGGCCGCGGTGGCTATTGTTGCTGCTGCTGTTCTCTTCCTTCACGTTCGTCACCTCCTTCCACAGCTGCTGAAGCTCCGCTGGAATCATGCCTGAAACAAACAAATTGGATAACTAAATCAATTAACAGCTAATCCAACTCTCTTCGTCACATAATTAAATCAAAGGGTCTGTAAACAAAGCCAAGTATTAATTAAAAAATATTCCACTAGAGGGTAATGCACGGAGAGTGCTTGCTCCCCCCTGCTCTCTCCCTGTGATCTGAAGCGTGTTCGTACACACAAATCCTTGGCATTCACACGCATTTCATGCCCAAAGTAAATAATTAACATCCAGACAAGGCATGAAATCTGAATAATCACCATCATTTCTCCTACAAGAGGAGAGGCAGAACACACACAAAAAGTTTACAATAGCAACGTTACAACCAAAACAGCCCACACCACCCCACCTTCTACAGAAACAGGACCCTGGGGTAATATTCTCAAAAGCGCATTAATGTGCAAAATACTTAAAGCTCTGCACCGCCTCCAATTGACACAGAAGACTTAAACCTCATTTAACAAGTCAAGCACATGCATCTCACACAGCAGCCTTAGAAAGCAAAAAAATCCCTAGAAGACAAGACATTTTCTTGTGTTGGAACACATACACTGAGAGAGCATGTTGTCTCTCCTGCTGACTGACAGAGATCCTGACACCCTCAGATTGGGGATGAGAAAGGATAATGCCGTGTCTGTACACCATCTCTAAGAGAACCCAGCCATTGTTTGCACACAATGTATATGTGTATGTATCCGTATGTACAGTGTCTGTTACCACCGCGCCAGAGAAGCCTGCTTTCATTTGACATAAATGAGGCAAAAGCTGATAAGAAAAATAAAATCCCCCCGTGAGGGTATGTTCTCTAGCCGTTTGCATTGTCATTCAAAAATGTATTTGGTTAACTCATATTTTTAATAGCATATTGAAAGATCCACTTTGGGAATGTGTGCAAATTTGTATTGGGTATTCAGATCTGTCCTTAAATGAGTCACATGTTTAAAACATACTGAAAGACCCTTTGGATATGCTGTGAATTCAACTGGATGTAAAAGACCACTCGTTTAACATTACAATTAATTAAATCCATTCTAAAAATGAGCAATGGCAAATGAAAGATGATTTGCACATGCTTATCTCGGATGGGTTTATATTCTCCGGATTCCCCCCCTTTTAATCACTCCCTCTATAGATACCAGAAGTGGCCCTTTCAAGCGCCAGATCGTAATACAAAATGCTTAGTCTTAATTTATTCCTGTTGTGGAAAATAACTGTGAAGTGAAGATCTCAATACGATCAGCAAAAATATTTTTAATTTGATAAGCTACTGAAGATTTTAATTATGCTCGTAATGGAGAACATTGGCCTAATGAGGCGAAGGACTCTGGAGAGACGCAGGGGCTAAGAACTGTGAAATGAGTCTGATAGGATTGCTGTAAATTCACACTAGATCGTTTGCATATCAAAGAGCAGGAAATGATTGCAGGACAAATCAATAACCTTTCCACGTTCCAAGGAGTGTCTTTCCTCATTGTAATATTCTAACACACTCTCCTATATTCTGCCAAAACTGTATATTCTCTCTCTCTCTCTCTCTCTCTCTCTCTCTCTCTCTCTCTCTCTCTCTCTCTCTCTCTCTCTCTCTCTCTCTCTCTTATTCTTTGACGTACCTTAATCAAAGGACACAGCCATGAAAGATGCCAAATGTTCCTGTTTGCACAAAAGCATGCTAATCCTTCGGTTGTTGCTTCTCACTTGTCTTATTAAAGTCCCATTGTTGTTTTGATGGTGGGAATGATCCTTGAAGGGAAAGTTTTCCATGATGATGGTTTGTCTGGATGGGGAAGGTCACTGCTGGAGTGAGTGTCCTGTGCTTCAACAGTGGGAACAATCATTTTCCCCCCACTTGGTGCCCATTGACAGTGGGCGATGTATTTTTAGCCTGTGTGGCTGACAGAATGGCCCACTCTCCCTCAATTACCAGCCAGTTCTGGTGATCCCGACACCACTGTTTACTCAGATGAAACAGGTCCCATAGACTCCTCTGATGAGAGGGGTAACGGACTGGGACCAAGCTGTCTCCTTCCTAACGTACCCCCTTATTTCTCTCCCACTCTATCCCCTGCTCCTATGTTCTTCCTTGTCCTCATTGGATCTCTTGAAACTGAGGGTTGTTCATGATAACACCATAAATTACAATAAAATGTAAAGCTATGAAAATCTCAAACAGTATTGTATTCTATGTTTGGACAAACGGTGTTCTATTTTTCCTGAAAAGGCAGCATCTGATTTCTATGGTAGACATAGAACACTGATCTCTAAATCCTTTTTTGTCTCCCCAGTCTGTCCATTTTTTAAATGCAGGATTGGTTTATCCTCCCTTTTCATTTTTCAACAACGCTATTCCACTCATTATAGGTTGGAAATACAGACAAGCATTTTAAAAAATGTATGTTGTTGGGACACTTGATTGATCACCGGACTGGCAACTCAATTTTACCTCTGCAGGTAGCTCTGGCACCCAGACAGGCAGAGCTCTTCAACCTTTTCCTGTCCTTGTACCTCCGTACCCAGGTGACTATGTTCAAGCAAGCAGAAAGTTGATTTAAGGTTCATAATGACATCAGTTTCAGGCCATCATCCACAGAATAAAAAATAGCCCCTATCCTCTGGGTTCTTTCAACTCTGCTGTTTCTTTCCACACAGAGCCAATACCATGGGGGGACGGTGACACCACTATTAGTTTATTGCTCCATCAGGCAGAGACCTCTGGTGCACCCCTGTTTATATTCCTGTAATCACTGGCCTAGTGATATGCACCCCTTAGGCCTAAAATATGTTACCTCCTAATGCTGTAGGAACTATTACCAGTGTCGCGCTGCTGGCCAAATCAATCACTGACTGGGGGAGCGTATTACCTACCGCTGTCCCTGATGTGCCGCTGCTGCACTGAGAACAGCTTCATGCTTCGCCACATTCTTTGCTTTCATATTACCGACAAATTTGTCCTGTCACTGTCCCATTGCCCTCTCTTGGACAACTTAACTGATGTTCTCCAGCGATGAGAGGTCAGTCTGTTACATGGCCGCCTGGGAGGCCACAGGGCCACAAAAGACACTTTAGCCAATCAGGGCAGGCGCAGAGAGGGGCAAGCAGCGACACACACACGCACGCACGCGCACACATGCACGCACACACACACACACCTGGCAGCTGCACCTGAGAGAACAGAGTGGAGCGAACATTGCCGTCTCTCTCATGCTCCACAGGTCAAGAGGAGAGGCTTTTGGGGGAAGGAGGGGAGGGGGGCGCTGGATCAAATTTATATTTATGGGAGTTATATCCTCCCCAAACACATTATTGTAATTTATAACAGATACTGTCTGACCGCTTCCAAGACTTTGAACATTAATGTCAAAAGAATTTACCGCGAGAGAAACAAATTAAGGTTCAGATAAAGAGAACAACTGGTTGTCATCCAAATAGCACTCTTCAAGCTTCTACTCAATTACTTCCTTCACATTTTGGTTTTAAATGATAACTCAATGTAATTCTTCATGTCAATTTGTAATGAAAATGTTTTATACTGTCTCTATCAACAATTCCAGTAAGCATGAGACAAAACAACACAAAATAAAATAAACCATGTTATACATGTACAATATTTTCAAAGTATAAATGACATGCCTCCTTCTAAAACATTCAGAGCTGTTAAAATCATTTTTGTGAAATCTATTATCTCAGAACACCATGAATGCATGGGAGAGTACAATACAATTATAATGTCATGAGAGATTGAATTTTTCAAATCATTTGATTTTGATTCTGAATTTGGAATAAAGGGGAATAAGGCTGATCTGTCTGATCATCGCCTCTGTGTATAAAAGTCATCCTAATTCATCGCCTCAGCCCAAACGAATAACTTCAAACAGTCAAGCAGAACATATGTAGAATAGGAAGGGAAACTCAGCCTGATGGTAAGTGTTTTAACAGCTGTCTTACATAGAGTTAACCACCAATGGTTTCCAAGGGCAGCCTAACCAAGTACCACTCAGTAAAATACTGAAACCAACCAACATACTGTGCGGTAAGATTCAATTCCTCATTTCAGTTTGTATAAATAATAACAAAGAGAAACGATACCTTATTTGTATCTTAAACTGTCATCTGAAAAAACATGGCTGAACAAACAAAGAGTGTATGGTTACTGTATCCTGTTTGAGATGGCCTTAGAGGTATTTGATGACACTAAGCATAAGCAAAGAGTCAACAGGATGTCCAGTAACTGTTGTGCACTTCCATAAAGAACAGCAAGCTGCCATATCGCTAGGGCAATGCTTTACTCACAGGGCGTATGTTTGCCAGATATCCGACACAAGGTAATTCATAAACGTACATTAACAGCACATTGGTGGTCCCCGCCTGTGCCTATGGCAATCATCTGCCAGTGGATGAGTGATCCCATACAGTCCAAACAATAACATGACTGAACAAACCCTGTTTTGGTTTGCTTATTACCTAAGTTCCCCCACCCTTCCCATTTTATCGCCTTATCTTGTTATTTCAAAACTGTTTGTCTTAGTGTGGAATGAATAGTCTATGTCATGTTCCAAAACGCTATGAATGAGTCTTTGTCATTGGGCTGCTCCTTAAGAAAATATTAATAAACAAATTAAGAAATAAACTTCCTGGCTTAACAACAAGTATTGACTCACACCACCATACCCTTATGGGAGATTTCACAATAAGAGGTTCAGTGGCAGTTTAGTAACAATGGTTCCAGTCTTCCTCTGGGCTTAGGAGGGATTGCCACTAGGCCAACACCCAGTATGATGCCATTCTAAGAGAAAGGTATGAATGGAGAGTCCAGAGACAGAGGCTGAAGGAAAGGGGGAATCTATACACCATGATAGTAACAGGGGAGGAACACACTACATGCAGTATAAATGAAACAAGGGGGTAGGTGGGAAACACTTCTAAACTGAGTTGTATACTGTAGTCAAGGCAGATGCAGTACGATATTTCATTGGGGTAAAGCGAGTCTAGGGTATTTTAGCGTTTGTGTGTGTATGTTTGTGGGGGGACTGCTGGGGGAAGGTGTAATCCCCTGTGTGGAGGTGTGTTGTACAGTACAGTAGAGCACTGACCCTGAGTGAGCGAGTGCAGGGGCAAGGTGGTCTGTCCAGGCTGGATGGTGAGCAGGCCTTGTCTCTGGAGGTTGAGCAGGTGCTGCTGCTGGAGCTGTTGGACCTGCATGAGCTGCTGCTGGAAGGCCAACTGCTGAGCCTGCTGCTGCTGCTGAGGACGACACACACACACACACACACACAAACAGAAAGAGACACACCATGAGCAAACACACAAACAGGACATGGGTAACCCAGAGCAAACAAAAAGTACATTATTTTCATACTGTTTTGGATTGTACATATTGATTGAACACAGAAACATGCAAATTCTAGTGTAGTGAACCAGTGGACAAACACATGCGGATCATATAGTGCATCCTGTATGTCTGAATATTTGTGTGCTTTTGCACATGTTATGTTCTCTCAAACAGGATACAGTATGTTTGCTCACACGAAAATACACACCTTCTCTCATACACGCACGCACACACACACACACACACACACACACACAATCCCAATCGAACCACACCACACACAAACACACACAAACACACACTCACACATTCAACACACCATGTGGGTTTGTCTGTGCACACTTAAGACAGGTACAGTATATATCCCCCTCTCTCTTAATTAACGAGGAGTCAGGAGGCAAATGACAAACAATGAAACAACATAGTTAATCATTCATAATAAGAGCCACAGTATTTTAATTACACCCATTCATAATTCAGCAAACAACGTGTGACGAAATCAAAGTGTTTAATAGCCACACCAGCTAGTCTCACAACTCTCTCAGGCGCGGCACTGAGCTTGGGGAGGTGTTTATTTCCCCCCCAGTGCAGCAAGTTGATTTGAATCATAGAGTGACTGAAGAACAGACGTCTTGTTCATCTTACAGTACTATGACTATACCACTCTGGGAAAGCTAGAGACTCATTTCCTCGGTCTAGAAAGTGAAAGGTGTAAAGTGAGGCAGTAAAGAGAGTGAGAGAGAGAAAGAGAGATGTGTGGTGTAGTGTGGTGTAAACCAATAAATAGAAGGAAAGTATGTAATATCCCTAACCTTCTTCGAATCAAAACAAATGGGGAGATGTTTAGATAACAGAGGAGTGGAGAGACTGACCATTTAACCCTACCATTAACCCCAGTCTCAGCGTCACCATCAAAATATGGATTATTATTCCTTAAACAACAACTGGAGATAACGATCAATCAAGACAAAGCTCACCTTGTTATGTTTTCTCTGACAGATAAGGACAGCCAAACAAAATAAGCCTGGGAGAGGGCAGGATATTAGGCTATATATATGAGTATACAAGGCCAATTGTCAAGGGGGGGGTGGGGGGCATTCAAATCAACCCGGGCTGCCAAGCTGTGCACCGCACCCTGTTACCAAACACAGGATACACCACTTTGTTTACGTCTCACAATTGAGCGCATACAAAAAAGGTCTCGGTGCAACGCTGCTGTCAGGTCACTGGCCGGCGGCTCAGAAACCGCTGAAATAGCCAGATAAAATGTTCCCCTCCTCCGCCCGTCCTGGTCTGCCTGTCAAAGGTCTGCCGGGCTTCCTTTCCCCTCCCCTTATCTCCCCACGCCCAGCCTCTGCTCCACAGCTCAGTAAAAATAAAGCCCTGAACACACACAGTACTGTACACTACACCGGTCTGATATGGAGAGACCTTCTCATAATGTTAGTCTGATCAGGATGATGTTGTGTCATATTGATGGACTAGCATTTAAGCATGGGCTAGGTGAGAGGGTGTATTCATGAACACCTATTTCTATGGTTTATGTTCTAAACTATATGGAGCATATTTGATGAAGAGCTCACTGACGTTTCAGTGTAATTAATTAGTGATTCAGTTGGCATGTGATTCTTCCCATCTAACAGCCTTTAAAAAATAAAAATAAATTATGGTGTTTCTTTTTCACAAAAGTGTCTTCAATAGGACTCTTCTCTGTACTGTAGCTCCCATCTGTCTGACAGCATAAGACAAAGATGCTAATGGTACTACGGGGGCGGGAGTTCACAGGGAACAATGTCTTTCATCAGTGCCCTAAATAAATATAGGGTGGCTTTTAAAAACTGAGAAATTAAATGAATTTAACTCTCTCCCCATCAGATTTCTTTCTTGTGGTCTCATCAGCTGACAGCAGCTCCTGTGCTCTCCCAGCGTGCAGACACATTAAAACCCCCAGCTCAATAGACCAAATAAGAGGTTAACAAGAAGTGGCACGAGGGAGAGAAAAATACAGTCCCTGACAATTGATACAGAGTGGCAGTGGCAGCCCTTTATTGTCAAGCTTCAAATATAAAGTTAAAGATCTTTGAAAAACTAAATTTTGATGTCTTTAAAATAAAAGAGGCACAAAGCAACAACAGGGGGTTATTGTCTGCCAGCCACGGGGGAGTCGCGGCACAATTCTTATTCTGTCTTTTGATGGCTGCAGCAGCTAGAAATGCAATTGGGGGGGGGCGCAACACATAGGAGAGCAGGAGAGCCTCTCGAGGCTGCATCCATTTCCTGTGATCATACATAATACGCTTCAAAAGTTGTTTTTTTAACACTCTGTTCAGCTGATCAATTGCACCTCCTTCTGACTAGCACAACCCCCCCCAGTTCGAGTCGTGTTTACATCAGATGCGACTTGGTGACAGGCCCTATCTGAGGCCAAGGAGCTCTGCTGTCACGTTGATTTATGGGAGCATCACACCACAACTTGTCCAAATTGAAGCCTGCAGTTCATTAATTAGAGAGCTGGGACTTTGAAGTCGGTAGCTCCGACAGTGTGTGTGTGAGCATGTGTGTTTGTTCGTTCACGTTTGTGCGCGAGCGTGTGTGAGTGTGTTTTTAACATTTGGCTTAATTTATATCCTTTTTTTCTCACCCTCCCCAAACGTGGCTCTCAGAGGGGAAAAGAGAGAAAATTCCCTGATTGTCTTTGAATTTCGTTTGACCGCACAATAATCATTCCTTTGTCCAGAGTGATGCCTGTATCTGCGAGTCATTAACACGCATTGAGCCGCCGCTGATGAGCCAGGGGAAGAAGGAGAGCGTGGGCAACAAGGCTGGGAGCACTCCCTGCACTGATATCTCACAATTACATGCATTCTCTCCAATTGCCGTTTCCATGCTAATTACCAAGGAAGCTTCTCAGATTTATATGCTCGACGTTTCAGCCTTTCTTTTCCCCTTCCTTTGATTATTGGCTACAAGGGCGCTCATACGAAGGGCACACTTTGTTGTAGGACCCTTGTTTACTGGAGCGAAAAGAAGAAAAAAACTGCACAAACATCGCCTGAGCAGCAGTACCAGCCCCAGTCCCTGGAAGAAGAGGAATCATCAGTATTCTTAGTTTATAAAGTTATTACTGGTATTTACCCAGAGAGCCTGACATGCTAATCAGAAGCATGAGTGCACTTGATTCTTTCACTCTCTTTTTTTCTTCTTCTTCTTAAAAACCACAGCCTCTGAACAGATGGCGAGAGGGAGAGAACAAATGCCTTCCATGCTCTGCTCTGAGCTTGGCTGAGGCTCTTACTGCCGGGGCAACACGTGAGTTGAGTAAGGCAGCGGCGTGCAGCGGTGCTGATGGTGATGATGTCAGCGTAGTGAGCCTACCTCTTTACTCTGCTTGCCCGCATGCTGCTGCTGGAGGAGCTGGAGGTGGAGCTGTTCCTGCTGTTTCTTGTAGAACTCTTGGAGTTGCTGCTGCAAAAGACATCGGAGCTACGTCTGAGTGAGAGCTCACCAACCAATCAATGTATCAGGGCCAAGCTAAACTCAGCAGTGGGCCGTGGGATACTTTCAACACTCTGGCTGTTCTATATTTGATACAGTTTCATGTTCAGAAGGAATGCTAGTGCACTGTAGATCATTCCCTTTAAAACACTGTTCATATGGTAGTTGGTGTGGGGATGTTGATGTGTTCTATGTACTGCATGTGTGTCGTATGTGTGTCCCATGCATTTACCTGTTGTAACATGAGGGCCTGCTGCTGTTGCAGGAGCACCTGGAGCTGCTGAGGGCTCAGGACCTGCTGCTGGAGGATCTGCTGCATCTGCTGGGGAGTTATTACCTGGGGTGTCATCATAGCCACTGAGACTGGAACCTATAAGAGATACACAGAGGAGACATTAAGGACAGATCAGTCACTAACCTGGTCTATGAGAGAGACAGTGGTACAGCAAAAGACTGACATAGCCAGGATACATGATTTATAGGATTAGATGACCACAGCAAAGAAAGAGAACTGGAGGACAACAAGCTTGTCACTAGTTAACACAGCCACAAAGTCATATTGCTATTGCTACAATTTCTATTCTTAAACACTGCTAACCTTATGCCTAAGCATAATTGTAAATTAAGACCAAAAAGCTCATTTTTGTTTTCATGAATATTGTAACTAGGGACAATCGGACAAGCAGAGACGGTAAAGACTACAGCAGGTCAACCAGACTAATTGTCAGGGGCTACACACACCAACACAGCTACTCAAAAGAGACAGCTAAGGATAGCCCAGCCCCTCAACCCCTCTGGTCTGTACTGGAGAAATCACCTGGAGTGTCATCACAGCGAGAGATGCTACACCCCCTGAGCTGTAATGACACGAGACAGCCAGGCTTGCAGTAAGCCTGTGGAGAATCTACTACAGGCTCCGACCTTCAGCACAACAGCCCTCTCCAGACACACACACACCTAGCACAAGGCTGTCCAAGGTCTGATTGCTTCTGTTTTGATGCTTTCTTAAGCTGATCATTTGAGGTGATCTGCAAATAGCAGAAAATGCAAAGATAGGCCACACACTGTAGGTACAATAGCTCTCTTTGTACATAAGCCATGTCATATGAGAGCATTTCATTAGAATATTGTCAACGGCAATTTATTTAACGTAGAAATAAAACGCTGGCGCCATGCCTTGAGGAGGGCACACACTGACACAGGCCCTTAACTAACTCCTAACAAAAAGGTGTGAGTGGATGACTCTTCAAAACAAGTGATTTGTTATGACACTGAGAGAGCCCCACAGTTGTCAGGCTGCCTTAATTGCTCCGGCGGCATTGTGGCTTCCCAGAGTGTCTGGATGCTGCCACTCACAGCTGTGATGTGCCATACCATTAAAAGCCCCTTTCGCTGACATTTTAGTGACAAACAGCTACTGAGATATACTTGATAGCGTCTCACATTTGCAGCTGTTAACATGTCGTGGTGTGTGTGGTAGAACTGTGCTCTGCGTCTCTGAGGCTAATGTCGCCCGGCTGATAGAGCGGACATTAGGGGTGACAGTCTGTCTTCGCCAAGGTTACCCAAATTGTATCACGTCCTCATAGCTAATGACGGTCCTTTGAATTTTTCATGCATCTCTGAATGTGATGTAGCTGTTTGGAATCTATCTAGCTGGTGGGGTGTTCTCTGACACCTGCAGCATGCATATCACCTTATTCATTTTCCACATTGGAACATAAAACAAAACTAAAACGGGTCATAATGAGCAGCTTGTACTCTCACAGCGCTGGAAAGGGCAGTAGTGTTAAACAGGACGCTGTGGCGCTGACGCTGATTCTCTCTGTAAACTTCATTGAGAGGTGCTCCGAACTGCGTTACGCGATTAGAGTCGTTTTGTCCTCCTGTAGGGGAAACTCAAGAGGTTTTGCTCCACCCAAGACCCAACGCACTTAACATTTCTCATTTTCAGTACGAGGTGGCGAGAGGATGAAAATGCAATATTAATTCCTTCCGTATTACGTCTTAATATGCAGTCCATCTTGACTTTTTCATTTGGCTTGTCATTTGCATAGCCAAGGCTCCCGTTCCTAATTTCACAGTCATTATACACTGATGTCCTTTTTTCTCAGCATCACTAATTTTGATGAACTATTTTGAAGGTCAACCAGGCAGCGTGTCTTGATACAGTATAAGCCCTCTACGTGATGCGATAGATATAGACCTGCCGTTAAAAACCGCCTCAGCACCACTGACAATTACCTCACACACACCAAGGACAAATAATAATGACTCTTCTTTGATGTTTTATATTAAATTACATGAGGGAAACGATCTACTTCAGATTTGACATGCTCTACTTTTACGGGCAGTAAACGTAGCCAGGGTTATTTTCACATGTATTTAACCGGTTTTTATTATGCATATTCAATAGTACATGTTTTATAGAGTCTAACATAGAGATCCAGTGTAGAGAAATAGAATTAACACAATATTTTAATCACTTTCACACTTCTCAATAACTGACAATTTCATTACAAATTGCATTGGAATTTCATTCAATTAATTTCCTTCTTCTTTTTTTTACACCTTGAGCAACACATCCTCTGGTTCAGGAAGCTTCACACCTCTCCCTGTCATGATTGCGGGGTCTGGTCCACTGTAACTACTGTTAGACACCCAGAGACGGCAGGCAAAGCCATGGCAAGAGGCTATTACAGCCAACATTTTATTACCCATTACTACTGAGGTCATTAGCAGTGAGAGGGATTGTACGGTTCTTAACCTATTGATCATTGTAACTTCTACCATTTAATCCTGTGTTGAATGAGTGAAAATCTGCCTAAGACAGGGGGCTATTGAGGGGAAGGGTGGGAGGGAGCACTTTAAGTGAAAAATATGGCCCTGGCTGGTGTATCATGCCTATTTAAAGCAAACACGGGCCGCCAGTCTCCATTTAGAATGCTCTCCATATGGCACACTCCCTTATCTCTGGTTAACATCATGACTCCAGATGATTCAAAGAAATATATGTACATATAAAGGGAGTCTGAGGGAGAATTCTCTGTCTGTCTGGTTAATTAAAAGAGAATAGGAGAGTTTATAGGATTTATGGATTTCAGTAAGGCGTGGCGCTCTCCAGGTGCCTCACGTACATAAACATTCAAGCCTGGAACATTCTCACACAGCTGCAGTGTGACTGTAGGCAATATACCAGTGCAGGCCTGCTGGCCAACACTCACTCACACACACACACACACACACACACATAAGCATTAAAAAACTTGCACACACAAGCACTTAAAGTCCATACAGCATGTGTACTCACACGTATAGTTAAACATGCAGTCCGGAAACTATAGCACAACAAATTCGTAACATATTGTACGAATTGGATTCATAACATATCATTTGAATTGCAACCCCCAAAAAACACATTATTTTTTGGCAGGACGTAACATATCATACGAAATGGATGACATAGTACACAATTGAAAGGGGTAGTACACGGGGACACATCATGAGCACCACCTTTAAATTGAATGGCTGAAATTATACAAAAGTTCTGGAGCATCACTTTTTACAATATGTAACTACAACGATATTAATAACAAATACTAAGACTATTTTTAATCCGGTAAAAAAACGAATTGTGTTATTTATTCCTGCTTTCAAAGATGCAAACTGTGACAGTTTAAATTGCCACTGTCCAATGCAAATACAGCAGTAATACCGCTCCCTTATGTATCTGTCATTATTATCATGACAGTAACATACAACAGGTTAGCCACATTTCTAAAATATAATCTATTTACAAAAATAGTTCTGAAACTATGCATTTTTAGTTGCTCCTAAGAGAGGAGGTTAGCGTAGCAGGCACCGTCTGATGCCGTGCTGCTTGGAGAACAGAGCAGGAGCATGTTCAGAGTGAAAGGAAGGCACAGCACAGAGTGATGGGTTAGGACTGCACTCTGCTCTGGTTAGGACTGCTGCCTTCAAAGGACACTAAGCCAACTTCTCTTTGTGCGCCACCACCGAGAACATCCACGGAAATTATTTTCTAATGAGGAAATATTGCCCACAGATCTGACGATGTTGGAAATGCACTGATTCACACTTAATGAAAACGCTCTCCGACCAGCGTTCCCCCAGAAGGCAAAGGTCAAAGTGTGGTGAGAGAGAGAGAGAGAGAGAGAGAGAGAGAGAGAGAGAGAGAGAGAGAGAGAGAGAGAGAGAGAGAGAGAGAGAGAGAGAGAGAGAGTTGTTGTTGTAGTTGCTGTTAATGGTAATCCCATTTCCACTACTATTATTATTATTATTGCTGTTGGTCCCACCATTTTTGTTATATCTATACTTTGACAATGTAAGTAATTTTACTTGCCATGTCAATAAAGTCTATTGAATTGAATTGAATTGAGAGAGAGAGAGAGAAAGAGAGAGAGAGAGAGAGAGAGAGAGAGAGAGAGAGAGAGAGAGAGAGAGAGAGAGAGAGAGAGAGAGAGAGAGAGAGAGAGAGAGAGAGAGAGAGAGAGAGAGAGAGAGAGAGAGAGAGAGGAAGCAGATCCAGGCATAAGGCTAGCCTCCCTCCCCCTCCTGGTGATACAGGGGCAATTAAGGAGAATAGAAAGAGGAAAAAGAGGCCAACTTCAATGAGACCATGGCTGATATTAAACTGGCCATGAAGGAACAGGTTAGATGAAAAGGAAAAAAAATCTAACTTTTATATCTTGCTCCCTGGTGTCATCTTGTTTTGTAAGGACATCAAATGGAATGTAGAAGTAGAAAATAACAAGCCCTTGAGAAATCATAGAAACCAGCCTGTTTGATGCTGTTGGTTTACCTTGGCCTGAGACATTGGAATAGTAATGGCGCTCTGTCTTGAATAGCATATAATCTCGAGCATGAAAATGTCTCCGAAATGAGGATTTCATGGGAGGCATTGCATTGAAGTGATGCATGAACATAATTAGTCCTCGACAAGATCGGAATGACTCATTTTTTCATGTCTCGTTTAGGTTTATTGAAATATTGAAGGTGGATAACGCTTTGGAGAATATGTCAAGCACATTTTCTCTGCTGGGAAAAAAGGGTCAACAAAATAATATCTGTTTCTTACATTTTATTTTGGTGTATTTTTGTTTGTGTGTATTACTATTATCTATATCTATCTATCTATCTATCTATCTATCTATATATATATATATATATATATATATATATATATATATATATACACACATATATAGATATATAGATAGATAGATATAGATAGATGGATATATTATTATTATTATTAAACAATAACCAATGTATGAAGTCCCAGGCTACAACATGCATGACAATGAACACACAGCGACAAAGCTACCCATCCTGATTCAGTTAACCCTCACTAATTCCTCTCTGTCATCCAAATTCAAACTGCTTTAAAAAACGTTTACAGTTCAGATAAACAGGATAATCACAGTCACATATTCTCCCCATTTGCTATTTATATTCTGCAAGGGGATCGTAACGATACGCAGCAACTGTAAAAACAAAACTTAAGATTGCATTTTAATTAACTTTTAAACCACAAACAAACAAGTTTTCAGCAAAGCTGGGCCAGCGTTCCGTAAAACCAACAAACTACACGGAGAAGTGAGCGAGCCTCTCACCCTAACTATAACAGCTGAGCTGCGTGGTGTCGGCTCTTTCCCACACTCAGGGAGTCCGCCACTGCAGGTGCCCACTGCTGAGCACAGAGCAGAGGGCATGGTCCCCACCCTGACACACACACTAAACACTGTCTCAGGAATTGAGAGGAACAGAGAGTATGTGTAACACCTCTGCTATTCAAACAGATAGTCATCACACAGCTAAATATGATCACTGGGGGCCATCTCCTGTAGTTGCCTGTAGTGAGAGTATATTACTTCATTAGAGGATGATTTCTTTCAGTGTATTTATGTTCCACTGTATTCACTGATAGAGATACGTCTGTATTGCAATAAAATTATTTGCACTAAAATGATGTGATATAATAAAAATTATGACACTTCACCTGTGTACAATTATGTGAGATATGTTTTGAACTGAGTGACAAAAAATTCAAAACGCTGAAATCCAGCAAAGTTTATAACACTAATTACTCATTTTTTAAATGAGGGTTCAAGTTTCCATTTTCACTGATAACATCTCACACGTTCTGACATTTCAAGCCACTCCCTCATATGTAGAGTTGCAGGCACTTACCAGGCAAGTTTGAGACAAGTTTTACAAAAATAAAATATGCAATATGACAACTCTACTGCCAACAATAGCACCATTCACCAGACCATTCACCTTGTCGTAGACCTGGCGCGTGCATCACCACACAACACCAGAACCCCCTCTTCTGTTCTCTTCCTTCGTCCCTCTGTGTGCGTGATTTATGGTTTACCAGCTCAGCACCGTTACGCAACACTGCGTGCCTTCAGATGCATTATTTGAGTCAGTTGAGATTTAATTAAGATCACAGCCTTTAAAATCCCCTTCAAATGAAAATTTACCCAAAGACAATGCCTGACACATACTCATGCAGATTGTTTCCATTCTCTGCACACCAGCAACGCAAACCTAATCCTTGTTTCCATGACGGCAGACAAGGGGCCACAAATTGTGTTGCTTTTTTACGCCGGCTTGTGTTGTTGTCTTTTGTGAGTTAGAAATCCATGTGGCCAATTAATAATAATTAAAAGGGAGAAGTCAGCAGCTGGCTTACAGTATGTGTGAATGCCTTCCAGAGATAAATCTAGATCCAACACATATGCCTGTGCTTATATCTGGGTACAGCCTACTGAATTATTCCACAACTACTTTGACAAACAAATTTTTTCTTTTTTTCTTTGAGGAGCCCAGCAGCAATCAACAGTATCACATAATGCGTTCTAGCAGAGCAGGACAGTGGCAAATATAGGCTAGTTATTATTTTGTTACGCCTACCACTGTCTATACACCATGTAATCATACTGTTAACTTACTATCTCTACCCGTTGAAATACATAACATCTTTGGTGTTGACTTAATTTGCCTATCTGAAATGGAGGCACGCTTTGAACAAGCGCACTGAGCAGTAATGCACCTTGAAACTGAACAAAAGCTATTTTCAAGTCAAAACGTTCCTCAATCCAGCGAGGAGTCAGCGGCAACAGCAGAGAGCAGCTGGTGGTTTTCTATATCATCGCTAAACTATTCCCCCTCACTCACTCCACACTGCAAAGCAGTGGCCAGTCCAGTAAAGGATATCCCAGAGCACTGTGGGCTCTCGCTGGCCCCGCGCCCCCCTCTCTGGGTACAGGGTAATATCTGGTTGCCTATGTCATGGTTTAGAAATGACAGGTGCTGGCAGCCTCTCCCCTTGACAGGCCACTGCACAAATAACGGCCCTGCCTAAAAGGGCTAATGCACTACTAATGAACAATAAATCAACTTTGATTACAAACTGTCAACCCAATCAGCTCGCACTCCAGCTCTCCCAAAATGCAACTCCAGCCCGGCCGGTGCAGCTGCACAGCATTACGGTGCACACTGGCTGTTTAGACTTCACATCTAATGTGTACCTCCACCGGCCCCTCTCTGCCAGACACTCTACCACCACGACACACGCTGCTGCTGAAAACTCCCCCCCAATGCCAGGGCTCCTCAGACACAGTCTGGTGCTCAGTACAAACATGGCAGAGGGGGTAGAGGGTGAAAACACTAGCCCTAAAAGTGAGGAAAATGTGGGTCTTTTTAAAGCATGCATTAATATATTAATTGAAAATGTCATTTTGGAAGACTCTGGAGGCTCTCACATCATTAAAAGTTAAACCAGCACCACAAAGTCAATAACTGTCTTCAGTCTAATACCTAAGGGGTGTTTCGTGTGGTTCAAATGTACCACCAGGGAAATAGGGGGAAGTTGGTGTAGAGAGGTTCAACTTCACCACTCATTTCCATTCCCCACCCCCTTTACAACACACGCGTGGGCACACGCACACAAAACAACTTTTCTGGAAAAATGTCAGTGCTGACATTTAGAATGATTGAGTCTGGCTAAAATGGTTATGTAGTGACGACGTCAAATGTAGAGTTGTGCCTCCCTCTCCCCTTAATTTCAAGTGACAGAGTGAGGAGAGGAACAACCCCCCATCACCTCACTGCCTCCCTCACTTGACAGGAACACTGTCGATAGCCTGGAGTGGGAACCAAGTCTGAGCGGCACACACACACACAGCTCACACACACACAGCTCACACACACACACAAACTGTGAATATCTCATGTAACACTTTTCCACTAAACAACAACAGCATGCGCTACTGAAGCTGAGGGCTACATGTGCTTGTTACTACTACACACTGGGATGTATAATATACAAAATACTAATATGTGATAAACAACTTTAATGCTCAAATAGAAACATGCCCCACTGCTTTTCCTAGAACTTTCCATATTTCAACAACAAATACTTTAGTACCAGATCCTGATTATCAGGTTAGTACAGCGTCAGTACTGTAAACAAAACCAACACAACTCGAATAGTTACTACAGTATATCTAAACTGGCATTGGAGCAACTTCATGTAAAGTGAAAGTTCATGTAAAGTGTAACTAAATACACAAACAAATAAACAAAACACTTTAACGTTTCATTTGTTGAAGCACATTTCAGCAAAGGAAAACTCTATCTCTGAATGGCATCAGCAACTAACAGCAAGTAAACACATACCCACAGCATTTCCACACAAATCACACATGCTTGTAGTGTAACAGCCTTTAGGGCAAGCCTGTACTCTGTCACTATCTCCAGAACACACTAAAACCTGGATCTATTCTCCCCTTAAACAAACTGCATGATAAAATGTACCAGTTACAATGATAGAACATCAACAACAGATAGACAAAAGCCCTCTTTTCTTTTCCCTGGACAAATTAAATTGTCAAGTTTTACACAAGAAAGCTGGCAAAATTGCAGAATCAATCATATTGACAAACCTGACAAACTCCATTTAGCTGGCAGGGTAAACAGAGAGCTGGGCCGTGCAGTGTGGAGTGGAGCGGAGAGGAGCACGAGAGAGAGCGAATGAGAGGCAGAAAGGCAGGCAGAGAGGCAAGCGGACACTGCTGTGCTGTGGCGTCTCCAGCCTTCCTCGGGATACAGACAGATTGCACGCACAAGGTTGCTCCCTGGCTGACAAGATAAAAAACTATCCAATCAACCACGCCCTTCTCCACCAATCACAACCAGCCCCCTAAACATAATCAATTCAAATGGCCTACACAATAGGGAGCCTCAGGCCGAGCTGCAGGTGGAACCATGCCTTTGTGTGGGGCCCCTTTTTTTTAAAGTCACAGTTGACGGCTGTTAACCCTTTGACCCATGCTGAAACTCCGGCCGGGCTATTGAAACAATGGGCACCTAAAGAAAAGAGGCCCTTTAATTAAACAACAGATAAGTAAACACAGCTATCCAGCTGAAAGAAAGAAACTAGCCTGCATTCAGACACTTTATTGTTCTGGTAAATGGAATTGTTTACAGCGCCAGGACAAAGAGCCAAAACTCATTTTATATTCTGATGACAACAAACAGCCAACAAACAATTGAGATGCTTTTTTTGTTGTTGTTGCCAATACCATAAAAAAGCACTTCAGTCTAAAATAAATGCTTTTTATTATACATGTGTCGTTTGTTGTTTTTTTTGTTTAGTTTTTTAAGTTTGTGTGTACTTAGTAAGAAACTGCTTTACCATGAACTATATCACCACTTTCTTTGTCCAGGGTATCTTTAACAGTTGCCCTTTGTGCTTAAATTGTAAACATAAGCAATAAACTCTACGTACTCTTCGATGACACTACATCTAACAAAATACATGATTTTGCCTCTAACTACTAAAACCACTTGTCCTAATACTTCACTACACAACAGATAGTACTACCTTTGGTGATATCACTACTCACGATAAGAGGAATTAGCTGTCATAATATCATCACATGGTTAAACACCCATGTGCACCTAGTATATAAAAGAGAAAAAATGTGAAAACAGGACTCTGCCCCCTACTGGATATGTATGAACTGCACAGGCGAGAGATAATAGAATGTTAAAACATGTCTACATGTGTTTTTCCTGGTTTTGAAATAAAAAATATTTAAACCGTGATAAATATGACTGTATTGTCTGATAATACACTAACCAAGTCAAGCCTGTTTCAGATAAGCCATAACTATGTAATACTTTCAGACATGAAAATAAACCTTTAAATCAGGATTAACACCTCACTCAGCTAATTACCATGTCAATAAACACAAAAAAGAAAAACATGGCCATTAACAAACTGCTCATATCAATGTCTATTAAAGTTTGGCTAAGGATGAATGCTCATGGAATACATTCCAGTCCACAAATACACTGGTAAACTAAACACAGCCCATACTTAACAAGCCATTTTCCCCTAATCTGCTAATAACTAAAAACAAGCTTTGCAAAGATGGGTGACCTATATAAATTATTGACTGGGAGACCTCAAGTGTACATATCTTAGTGAATAATTAAGTAGAAGAAAAAAAAGCTATTTATTTTCTTTCTTTCTGACACACACACACAAACACACACACACACACACACACACACACACAGGTGCTGACAGTGGTGTCGGCTCTGGCCACACTCTTCTCCCCAGTATCTCCCTGGAGTGGCATGTCGGCATATTCTCAATAAAACACCTTCTTAGCAGTAATAGGTCACTGTTCTCATTTCAATGCTCCCAAAGGCCTCATGATAAATTTAGCAGATATACAGTTCAAGCCTTCCCTCTCTCCCCCTCGCACTCTACACTTCTCATCCTCTGCCTGAGCCTACACTGTATACAGTAATTACACATATGTATCGATGTGATACATATAGACTATTACCAACACATTTTATCAACACAGAATCATCAATATCCTTGAGCTTTCAGTTTTATGCTTATGACACAGTGAGGAGATGACATAATAAAATACTCAATTTCCTGCCTGAATTACAGTAAAAGTATGAGTTAACGTCTGGTCATCTGACTAGGGATTTGTTCTGGGGTTAAAGACGATGTCACAGTTCACGTTACACAGCTCCTATTAATAAACAAAGTGGGAGAATACATTCCTTCTAAGCCATATCAACATTGATATAATACATACAGTATCTAAATACAGTGGGGGAAAAAAGTATTTAGTCAGCCACCAATTGTGGAAGTTCTCCCACTTAAAAAGATGAGAGAGGCCTGTAATTTTCATCATAGGTACACGTCAACTATGACAGACAAAATGAGAAAAAATAATCACATTGTAGGATTTTTAATGAATTTATTTGCAAATTATGGTGGAAAATAAGTATTTGGTCAATAACAAAAGTTTCTCAATACTTTGTTATATACCCTTTGTTGGCAATGACACAGGTCAAACGTTTTCTGTAAGTCTTTACAAGGTTTTCACACACTGTTGCTGGTATTTTGGCCCATTCCTCCATGCAGATCTCCTCTAGAGCAGTGATGTTTTGGGGCTGTCGCTGGGCAACACGGACTTTCAACTCCCTCCAAAGATTTTCTATGGGGTTGAGATCTGGAGACTGGCTAGGCCACTCCAGGACCTTGAAATGCTTCTTACGAAGCCACTCCTTCGTTGCCTGGGCGGTGTGTTTGGGATCATTGTCATGCTGAAAGACCCAGCCACGTTTCATCTTCAATGCCCTTGCTGATGGAAGGAGGTTTTCACTCAAAATCTCACGATACATGGCCCCATTCATTCTTTCCTTTACACGGATCAGTCGTCCTGGTCCCTTTGCAGAAAAACAGCCCCAAAGCATGATGTTTCCACCCCCATGCTTCACAGTAGGTATGGTGTTCTTTGGATGCAACTCAGCATTATTTGTCCTCCAAACACGACGAGATGAGTTTTTACCAAAGAGTTCTATTCTATTTTGGTTTCATCTGACCATATGACATTCTCCCAATCCTCTTCTGGATCATCCAAATGCACTCTAGCAAACTTCAGACGGGCCTGGACATGTACTGGCTTAAGCAGGGGGATACGTCTGGCACTGCAGGATTTGAGTCCCTGGCAGCGTAGTGTGTTACTGATGGTAGGCTTTGTTACTTTGGTCCCAGCTCTCTGCAGGTCATTCACTAGGTCCCCCCGTGTGGTTCTGGGATTTTTGCTCACCGTTCTTGTGATCATTTTGACCCCACCGGGTGAGATCTTGCGTGGAGCCCCAGATCGAGGGAGATTATCAGTGGTCTTGTATGTCTTCCATTTCCTAATAATTGCTCCCACAGTTGATTTCTTCAAACCAAGCTGCTTACCTATTGCAGATTCAATCTTCCCAGCCTGGTGCAGGTCTACAATTTTGTTTCTGGTGTCCTTTGACAGCTCTTTGGCCTTGGCCATAGTGGAGTTTGGAGTGTGACTGTTTGAGGTTGTGGACAGGTGTCTTTTATACTGATAACAAGTTCAAACAGGTGCCATTAATACAGGTAACGAGTGGAGGACAGAGGAGCCTCTTAAAGAAGAAGTTACAGGTCTGTGAGAGCCAGAAATCTTGCTTTTTTGTAGGTGACCAAATACTTATTTTCCACCATAATTTGCAAATAAATTCATAAAAAATCCTACAATGTGATTTTCTGGAGAAAAAAATTCTCAATTTGTCTGTCATAGTTGACGTGTACCTATGATGAAAATTACAGGCCTCTCTCATCTTTTCAAGTGGGAGAACTTGCACAATTGGTGGCTGACTAAATACTTTTTCCCCCCACTGTATATCTAACTCATGTTGCAATTCAAATAAAAATATAAACTGCATACAAAAACTATTTTTTTCTTAAACTGAAAAAAACTTGTAACCTTTACTTTTATCATGAGAAAACAAACATTGTTGGGTTCCCTCTTATCTGAGAAAAGTAAATCATTGTTTGCAGATCCAGGGGCCGGTTGCACCAGTTGGTCGTAAGTGGGTCGTAACTTTACGTCCGATGTAAAATGCAATTTATGCCAGACCTAAAAAATTATACATGTTGCAGGCTTTTCGAGTTGCATATGCGCGAGTCAATAGCAAAATAATACACTTGATTTATGCTACATTATAGCATGCTAAATGTATCTGATCAGAGATAGATTAGGAAACGAATAGATTAGCTACCACCACCACTTATTTGCCCAGCCAGAGATCAAATAACTAAATATATGTACGGAGATTCAGTGAAACAAAATCGCATTGATTGATTATCAGACAAGTCAAGGGCTTTTTGTTGGGATATAGGCTAGGCTACTATGTGAGTGAAGAGCAAAATAATCCACTTGTTATACTAGGCTACATTACATGTAGCAAAATGTTCTGATCAGTGCTAATAGATGGGCAAACTAGGCAGACTAAAATTATCATAATGAGCACTCACCTCAATATACGTAGCTAACATTTTCCCAGCCTAATTGTAACCAAATATCCAAACGGAGATTCAGTGAAAACAAAAATCTGACATTGATTGATTTATCAAGATGCGTCCCCACTCTTGTCTCAAAGCAGTGCAATGGCGCTGTCCCAATCAAACCGGTGCTGAAATTATAGTTGACCACACATGGCTATTGCTTTAAATGATTTAAAACGGTTGGATGATTGTGGGAGTTTCAGTAAGCAACAATTTGATACATGCCTTCAATGGCATTAGCCTACTTCATTCCAATATTATCGTCATTCAGCGATTTTCATTCCAACAGTAATTATTTATTGATCCATCCAGTTATGGTTAAGAAAACATGCATGCATAGTGGTGGGCTTTGCGAAATGATGGATGAAGTGACAGCTTCGTAACGGGAAGGTAACAGCTTCGTAACGGGCATTGCCTAGCAACCATCATTATGAAGCATCAAATCGAACCGGCGAGTGTGCTCGCATACTCCCTTGAAAAATGAGAAAAAAGCGCCAATAGTACTGTTTGTCCATCTTGAGATGCTGTAGCCTCAAAATAGTCACAACTAATTCAATCTGTCATTCATTTTGACATTTTTGTTGATGAGATCTTAGTCGTGCAATTTTACATCTAACTAAGATGTTTTGTGCAGTATTTCTCAAGTGAAAACATTTGCATGAAAGTAATTAGTCTCTCGCTGAATGACAATAAAAACTTAATTGAAGAATCCCTACTGTTAACCAATCACCAACGAAGGGGCGTAGACTTCGGCTACAGCCAAAAAAAAAAAAAAAAAAAAAAACGTCACAAAATGTCACCATAATATATGCACAAACTGTTCCGAACTGTTTCGGATGGGAAGCATGCGGACGCCTTTAGTCACGCCTGTTTAGGGTTGCAAAACTACTGGTAATTTACCAAAGTTACCAGAACTTTTGGTAATTTTGGTAATTAAAAGGTAACCTGTACTTGAAAAACAAAACATTTTTTATTCATATATAATATTAATTTTTTTATATCTGTGTCCATATTGTCCATAAGTGTCTAGTGGAGAGACCATATTGAAAAAAAGCATCTAATCAACGATGGCATTGTTTTCAATTAACTCTGCAACTCTCCAAATACTGTCTTTATTCACAACTGCCACCAGTTTGGCGCCAAAACATTTACAACAAAGACATATTATTGACATAATTTAAAGGATATTTCATGCTGAAACCCTCATATTAAACACCAATGGTATTCACTAAGTTGATGGTTTATATTTAGGATCATGTTTTACAGCTTTGTCATTCTATAATTATTTTATTTTTTTAATCATCTTATTTAATTATTTTATATATTTTACATTTGATAAGGCCACACTGAGGGCCAGAGATAATTACTGACACCCAAAATGGCCACTAGATGTCATGTGATAAAATTTCCCCCAAAACTTGAAAGTTACCAAACTTCTGGTAGTTTACTGGTAAACTTTGAAAGTTACCGGTAACCTATGCCTGTTAAATTGTGTTACAAGGATTTATTGTGTTATTGGTTTGGATATTTACTTTTAACTCAGCAGATTTGTTGTCTGTATTTGCTAAATATTTCCTGAGGTGATATGCCAGCGAAGTTCGTGTTTCTTTGTGTTCCGTCTGCTGTGGTTTTCGCTTAGTCAAAACAAAAACATCTACAGCGATGTGCAACATAAATTCAGTGGGTGGGGGAAATTTGTGCTGTATTCTTTCGCGATTGATTCATATAGAGTTATTTGGAATCAGACACTATATTAAGAAGTAGAGTGCCTTATTATGACATTTTGTTGAGGAGAAAAATAATCCTATAGTTAAATGATGCCAAATGAAATGAGCAGTCAAATAGTCATCTTTATCAAACAGTATTATGTCAACATGGTAAAAATACTTAGTTTGAGTACATTTTGGCCATCCGAGTGCATCCGTGCCAAGTATTTGGTATCCATAAACTAGTCATAGCTACATGAATTACCAGGGCGTGGACTATAAACACGTACTCTTCAGTGCCCAAAATGAATATAAGTATCTACGGATTGTGTCATTCACTTCAGAACATCTCTCATACATGGTTTCAGGAATGTACACCCCCTCTAAAGACCATACGAGTAAAACAGGGTAAGTAGATTACACTAACTGAAACTATCTGTGTTCACAATACGCCTGATTTTAATCCTGAGAAGCATGCTGGTCAGTTAAGTGTCAGTTATGCTCATCAGTTAAGAATGCTCATCAGTTATTCCCTCCA